ATGCCATACGTCGGCCTCGTTGAGCCTGTCTTTGTGCATGTCGACGAGCCCGCGGCTTGCAAAAGCTCAGCTACTATGGCGGTAGGCGAAACAGGATCGTGGTCACTTGCTCATTGATGCCGCTAGGCGTCGACGAGTACATCTACAACACGACGGGGCCGTCGTATCAGCTGCTGCCCGTCATTGACGCGATCCAGTGCTTCCAGACGGACGCGTCGCCGCTCCAACTCGTATTTCCCAACATGACGGCGTTCGAGCCCATGTATGGCAAGTCGGTGGTCAACTCGCGCAACTGCTACTCGTGGAAGTACAGCGTCGACTCGAAGCCCGACGCGCAGGGCCGCCTTGGCGTCTACACGCTCTATGTCGACGTCGACACAAACGAGCCTGTTCGGTTCCACTACATTGGCCACAACGTCATGCTCGGCGGCAGCCACATGGACGAATACATCCTCGACTACGAGTACATCCGCGCCGGCCCCGTCGCGCCGCAGATCTTCTCGTACCGCGTCGCGTCCATGAATTGCACGCCGCTGGGCCCAGACGTTGTCAACGCTCCGCTGCGCCCGACGAACGACGTACGTGCATGCGCCTCTTTCTCTCGACGAACTCACATCATCCAACTAGTTTCACTTGCGCATGCCGGATGGCGAGACGCAGCGTGCTGACGCGTTCGACGCGTTCATGGCCGCCCACGAGAAGGCGTACGTCGATGACTCGGAGCGCGCGCGCCGCGAGAGCATCTTCCACGCCAACGTCCAATATATCAACGCGATGAACCGCCAAGGTAACAGCTACACGCTGGCCGTCAACCACTTGGCCGACAAGACGCCCGACGAGATGCGTCGCCATTTCCACGCCAAGGCGCGCCACGCCAAGGACAATGGTGCACAAGCTGTGCATGCATTGTCGAGTGCGTCACTGCCCGAGGAGTTTGATTGGCGTAACCGTGGTGGCGTCACGCCAGTCAAGGACCAAGGCCACTGCGGCTCGTGCTGGACATTTGGGTGCGTTCGCTGTCGCCTGTACTCGAATGTACGCTAATGCCTGCGCAGGACGACGGGGCGCTCGAAGGCCAGCTCTTCAAGGCCAAGAACGAAACGATCCGACTCTCGCAGCAGAACCTTATTGACTGCTCGTGGGACGAGGGCAACAATGCGTGCAACGGTGGCCTCGACTACCAAGCCTACCGCTGGATCATCAAGCACGGCGGTACTTGCTCAATGCACGAGAATTGGGAGGCTCATTGAAAGTAGGATTGGAGACCGAAGCCACGTACGGCAGCTACAAGAACCAGCCGGGGTTTTGTCACTTTAACGCTTCCCGTGCCGTGGCCCCGATCGCATCGTTTGTGAACGTCTCGGGCGTCCCAGCGCTCAACGACGCCCTTGTCAACGTCGGACCGCTGTCCGTGTCGATCGACGCGGCGTTGCCGTCGTTTTACTTCTACGCTGGTGGCTACTACAACGACATTGAGTGCAAGAGCGGCCTTGATGACCTCGACCACTCGGTGCTGGCGGTCGGCTACACGACGTACAATGGCGAAAAGTACACGCTCGTACGCTCCTTCCTTTTGATCGATCTCTCCGACAAGCAAAATCTCACGTGTTTGGACGTAGGTCAAGAACTCGTGGAGCACGCATTGGGGTGAGAAGGGCTACATCAAGATTGCCCAGAAGAACAACATTTGCGGCGTCGCGACCATCGCGACCTACCCCGTCCTGCAGAAGACGGCAGCGTGAGCTGTCGCTTGGCTCCTTTTTAGTGTATCTCTCAGTCAATTCAGTCTCCATGCCCTCGTCCTCTTGAGTGCAATATGACTCGCAATGGGATACCTCGAAAGTTGTCACATCTCCGCTCGACCCTGTATTCTAGCTCAACCGCGCCTTTGCTAGTACCCTACAGAGACGCGAATGAGCGACGATCGAATGCAATTGGAGCTGCCAGCCAGCCGACGTCCTCCAAGCGGCCATGATGGAGCCCCGTCTGGCGATCGGGTTGCCTATTTATAAATCCTCATTGACTGACGGCGCGATGCGTGCTGCGCTGGTCGTCTCCTGCGCACTCGCCTCGGCGACCCGTCCGCTCGGTGCGCGGCGCTTCACCATCCTCGTGCTCATGCCTTCCACTAGTCCGCATCCCACTCGTGAACCTGGACCAGCTTCAATTCTACGGCAGCATCCACGTTGGGTCGCCGCCCCAGGCCTTCCGCGTCATCTTCGACACGGGCTCGAGGTTGCGTTGGCAGCTCGATTCGTTGCTCTCAGAATCTCATTCTAGCGACGTGTGGGTCCCCAGCCAAGACTGCATCGCGTGTTCGGGCTCTGCTCGCTACAACCGGTCGGCGTCGTCCCCGTACACCAGTGCTTTCCTCGCCTGGAAACTGATTGCTTTGTAGCTTTGCCGACGAGAGGTATCGTTTCCAAGCCTTTTATGGCAGCGGTGCCGTCGCAGGCGATGTCTTCTCGGACGCCATCGCCTTGCCCGGCGCGTCGCATGCGCCTCTGCTGCGCATGGGCAGCGTCACGACGCAAGACGCCCATATCCAAAAGTTTGCCTCCGAAGGCATTGTCGGTCTCGGGTTTCCGACACTCGCTTCGATCTCGGCGCCAACGTTCTTGGAAGCGCTCGAGATTGAGATCTTCTCGCTCTACATTAGCCCTCTCCCGACCTCTCCGATCCCGTCGCAGCTGCTTTTGCATGGTAAACAGAGTCGGAATACTCGCGTGGCTTGTCGCTATTACATTCGACTAGGTGTCGACGACGCCCTCGCCGGGCCCAACGCGACGTGGCACGAGATTCCGCTGGCCGACGCGCCGTCGACAGGTCGTCAAGACGCTCGAACGAGTCCATGACGCACTGCGTAGATGGTTTTTGGGTCGTCCGATTAGGCGGCATCCGCCTGCACGACGTCTCTCTTCAACGTACGACTTGGTTGATTCGACCAAAACTCGAGGACAAGTTGTGCATATCCGGATGTAGGCGCCGCCACCGTGGCGATCCTCGACTCTGGCACGTCGCTTCTGCTGCTCCCGCACATGGAGTACGCGTCCGTGGTCGCTCGCCTATGTGCAGTAGTCCCAGCCCTCGACGGCTGCGACGTCGGCCACGTGTCTTGCTCGTCGTGTGACCACACGTCGTTTCCGCCGCTTACGTTCACCCTCGGCAGCACGGCTTTTACACTCCAAGGCTCCGACTACGTTCGGTAGAGTCTTTCCTCAGTGTCTAGTAGCTGCATCGAGCCGTAGCTGCGAGCTCAACGTGTGCACACCGCAGATCGAGACGAGCGCCAACGCGTTCGTCGTCCTCGGCGATATCTTTTTTCGGGTACTATCTTGATTCACAAGAGCCACACCCACGAGCTCGTTCTTGATGCGATCGATATAGGCATACTATACGGCCTTTGATGTCAAGAAACGGAGCGTTCGACTCGCGTGTCCAGCAAGTGGCTGCCACGGCGGCCAGCGGCCGCCGCTCTTACTCTCCCCCTTTGTACGTTCTGCGTCGTCGATGTGCTTGCATGCTCAAATGTGCACGCAGTTGTCCTGGGTGCTCTACGCCTCGGTGCTGTACACCAAGGCCTTTGGCCTCGCGCTCAGCGTCGTAAGCTCCAAGTGGCTCTTCGACCGCACGCTTCGGAGGCGCACCAAGCAGCCCCCAGGGCTTCTGAGCGGCATCGTTTAGAAAGCGGCCATTCGCCTCTTGAATACTACAGCTGCAATCGTTTTTGGCTCGGAAAAGTTGACCTACCGGCGTTGACTTTGATGCAGGTCACTCGGGGCTCGGTCGTTGCTCGCTGTAGCGATTGTGAAATGTCAAACGCTTTGCTTTGAATTCCAAATATTATGCACAACAGTTGCTGCGAGCCCACCCCGAGCCTGTGTGTGTCGCTGCGTTCAACGAGGGGGCAATTCCACCTAGACGACAGGCCATCGACACCGCGACACTGTTTATAAGGGACCGAGACGGTGGTACTCGGTGGTTGATCGCAACAGCTCTTGCAACAGCACACTCGTTGAGTTCGTGATGGGATGGACAAGGGTTTCAACCCTCGGTGCTGTGTCTACGATGGCATCCCTACTGACGACACCGCGCCTGCGCTCATGTCATGCAGTCACCAGCTATGATTATCATCAACCCCATCGAGTACGATGACAATACAATCGATTTGCAGCAATCACTGCTTATACGGCGCCTTCCGTTGCCGCAATAGTGGTGAGATGCTCCTCTGCGGTTAGGCGTTTACAGCAAGCAGCGGTGGTTCTCGTTGGTGTAGTGGGAAAGGACAAGGAGTCGTGTGCGGATAGTGAAGCACGATACATTACGTAGTCGGGAGATTAAATATATAGTTGGCGCGGCACATGGATTACTTGGACGCAAGCGGGAACTGGTGCGCGTTGGCCCAGTTGGCAGCCTTGTGGGCGCGCGCGCTGTTGCAGCGGCTCATGTCCGAGGGCACGCGGGCGCCGCGGACAGAGACTTGGGGCGCAGCCATGAACATCTCAAGGACCATCTGCGCGTACGACTTGGGCTCTTGCGTCATCGACTTGACCATCTTGGTGGTTGGAAGCTTTTTCAATAATACGCTCGCAACCAAGAAGATCGAGCTTTGGTTGCACCTTTTGGCTTGGCCAATCATATCGCCGCATTGGTCTGACGCAGCAATTTCCGTGATTTGATTGGTGAACCTACTTTCTGCGCCACCGGCAGTGGACCAATCACGAAGAAGTGCACGATGCGACGGAGTGCCGAAGTCCAAGTTGGATCGCCGAACAAGCGACGCCGTCCTCGCGATCCCTGGAAGAAAAAGGGGACCGACTATACTAATAGACAGAGTTTCCACAGTCGAGAGACGATTCGAGAAGCACGTATACTGTTGTAGGGGTGGCTGCGTTGGTGGCTGCCTCCTGCACATCCGAGGCGCTGAAAGCCGGGACGCATCGTCGTCGAACGCAAGCTGGTCGGTTACACTGTCTTCGCGCCCCTGATTCTTGGCTACCACGGGTACGATGGTTGAAGTTGGGCAATCGCCGTCTCTTCGCGCTTGCATTTCGTGTGGCGCGGCTATGCGAGTCGGTTGCGATGGTTGGCTACGACTACATGTATGTATTGTTGCGATGGCAGCTAGCACAGACCGCGCCAAGGGACCGCAACAAACCCACGTCAGGTCTTCTACATCTAAGATTTGACCAAACAATGTCCTCGCCAAATCCGCGACGATCTTGGTTTGAAGGGACACGTAGGGCCACTTGGTGTGCAGGCCAACGGGAGTGTTTATTTTCGCGGCCTCGATGGACAGCAGGTGTACGACGCAGCGGAACGTTTGCGTCTTCTCTGTCGCTCACTTTGTGTTCTGGCGCCAAGGATATGCATTGCTTGCGGTTGAAGTTGGTCGGTTGTTCTCGCGAAGAGAGAAGCAGAACTGGAGAGGCAACCAAGGATATCAATTCTGGCAAGGACTCACGGAGCTATATACCGACCGGTACATAGCATACACACGTACATGGATAGGACCTACCGGTAACGCTTGGCCGTACTTGGAGCTCTTTCTGGGAATACCTATTCGCCACTGGAATGCCGACGACGAAACTAGAGCCAACTTTAACTTTAAATCACAACACCGCGAGCTCACTACGTCGAGCCGCCAATGGACAAACAATGCTCTATACCAGGATTCGCACTGGTCCTACGCTAGTAAATCTGCAAGGCAGGACGTCCTTGTACTGTGCTAGCTCAATAAACGGGCTTTTGAATACCGGTATGCAGTTTACACTAGTTGTCAGAGTTTGCAGCGATACTCTCTCAGTGCTTACATATACGATAGGTTTGCACGGACCACAGACACTTGCCGTCCTGTTGCAGCGGTGGTACACACCACGCTGACCGCACGTTTCGCAGACACAACCCACCACCCATCCTCGCTGTTTCACCATGCAGCTGCTGCTTCACCACCGCACTCGATATGCACAAGCAGCATGTATCCTTTTCAGTGTAGTCACGATGATCGAATTGGACTCGTCTATCCTCCATCAAGCATGTGTCGAAGTCTAGTCCAAGTTGTGGTCGAGGTCATTGGGTCGAGGTTGCCCTTTTGACTGCAATGTGGCACCGTGTATCAAGTCCCTTTCAAGTACGGTATACCAGAGCGTATTTAATCGGGTGTATCGCCGTCTTTTCCAGAAGGCACCTGCTCAAGATACCGCACTTCATCGAGACCCATACGTATATCAAGTGCAACATGCCAGTCAAGTGCGCAACGTCAATGACGAGGTGTGGGGACTTTGTCGCACTTACGGGGTGGCGAAGCTGACGGCTGATTTACAAACCGGCGACGAGGATGGCGGCCAAGAAGCACCGCCGGGAGGGCGAGAAGGTGTGGTGCCCCGACCCGCGCAACGTCTGGCAGCTGGGCTCGATCGTCGAGGACGACGGCGAGTCGCTCTTCGTGCTCACGCCCGACGACAACGAGGAGCACAAGTTTGCCGTGACGCAGACGCACCCGTTCGACGTCTCGCACGCCCAGCTTTTGCCCAACGTCTCGGACATGGACAACCTGCACGAGGCGCCTCTGCTCGACCTGCTCCGGCGCCGCTACGAGCAGGACCTCATCTACACGTTCACGGGCGACATCCTCATTAGCATCAACCCGTACAAGAACATCCCGCTCCTCTACAACTTTCCCGAAATCGACTCGCTGAGCAAGCAAGAGAACCCGGCGCCGCACGTGTTTGTGACCGCCGACGGCGCGTACCGTGCGCTCCAGAAGGACGGCAAGTGCCAATCGATCCTTGTCTCGGGCGAGTCGGGCGCCGGCAAGACCGAGGCCTCCAAGTACATCATGCGGGTATTCCCTCGATCGCAAGAAGATAAGGCAGCTCATGGTTTTTAGTACTTGGCCAACATTAGTCAGTCGGGGAAAGGCGCGGCCGCGGCCAACGGCGGCGGGTCGTCCGTCGAGCAGTGCGTCTTGCAGAGCAACCCGCTGCTTGAGGCCTTTGGCAACGCCAAGACGATCCGCAACGACAACTCGAGGTACCTCGTTCACCATGAGAGTATGCGATCTCATATCTATCTTCTAGTCGGTTTGGCAAGTTTATCAAGATCAACTACAACCGGAACGGGACCATTTCGGGGGCGAGCACGAGCCACTTCCTGCTCGAAAAGTCGCGCATTGTGGGCTGCGCCGAAAACGAGCGCAACTACCACATTTTTTACCAGATCTGCTCGGGCTTGTCGGCCGACGAGCGAGGTAGAAGACATATTTTATAGGATATTTTGACGGATGGATGCAATAGCTGCCTTGTACATCACCAAGGCCGAAGACTACGAGTTCCTCAACCAAGGCAACTGCATCACGGTCCCCGAAGTCAACGACAAGAAGTGCTTCAAGGAACTCGTCGACGCCATGGCTATCATGGGCATCGATGCCGAGACCAAGCGCACGATCTTTGCGCTCGTTGCCGCTGTCATGCACATGGGCAACCTTCGCGTACGTTCTTTAGAAAGGCCTTCTGATGTACTAAACGACTATACTCTTAGTTTACGGAGAACGCCAAGATGGAGGCGCAGTGCGCCGACATGAACCAAGTCAACCAGCTCGCGTCGCTCATGAAGGTCGCGCCCAAGGACCTTCAATTTGCGCTCTGTATGCGCACCATGAGTGCGGGCACCCGGTACATATGCTGTGTTTATATTCTGCTTCAAAACAGAATGTATACTAACGTATCACATGTGTAGTGGGAGTGTCGCTGAGATTGCCTTGTCGGCCGTCGACGCGGTCAAGTCGCGCAATGGTCTCGCCAAGGCCATCTACTCGGCGCTCTTTGATTGGCTCGTCGACCGTATCAACGCGGCGACGGCGCAGATCACGGGCGCGTCGACGGAGCGCGTCATGGAAGGGTCGCCCGGGCGGTTCATTGGCATTCTCGATATCTTTGGTTTCGAGATCCTCCAAGCCAACTCGTTTGAGCAGCTCTGCATCAACTACACCAACGAGATGCTCCAACAGCAGTTCAACGAACACGTCTTTGTGTACGAGCAAGAAGTGTACGTCGAAGAAGGCATTGACTGGTCCAAGCTGTCGTTCCAAGACAACATTCCGTGCCTCGAGCTCATCGAGAAGAAGCCGCTCGGTATTCTCATCCTCCTCGACGAGCAAGCGATGCTCGGTCGCCGCGGCTCGGACGAAAAGTTCATTCAAAAGCTCCACCAGACCCACGAGAAGCACCCAAACTACATCAAGCCGCGCTTTGGCAACGAGCAGTTCATCCTTAAGCACTACGCCGGTCAAGTCACGTACAACGTCGCGGGCTTCCTCGACAAGAACAACGACTCGCTGCACAACGACCTCATCGAATTGATGAACAGCAGCCAGCTCGAGCTGCTCAAGGTCCTCTTCGCGACGCCCGCACCCGCAAAAGACGAAGGCCCGAAGCTCAAGCGCGCGTCCATGACCAAGATGACGGGCACGATGACGGTCGGCCGCAAGTTCCGCGAGCAAATGGCCGAGCTCATGGCGCAGCTCCACACGACGCAGCCGTCGTTTGTGCGCTGCGTCAAGCCCAACAACATTCGGTTTCCGACCGGCTGGAACGCCGAGCTCATTTTGAACCAGCTCATCTACCTCGGCGTCATGGAGACGGTCCGCATTCGCCGGTCGGGCTTTCCCGTGCGCCGAACGTTCGACGAATTTGTCGACAAGTACAAGCTCCTCGAGAAGGTCTACTCGGTGCGCGCCAAGAAGGTTGCCAGCACCAACAAGGAAAAGTGCGAGGTACACGCTTCGATCCTGGCCCCGTGCAGGCGTTTATGGATATATCGCAGATGATTCTGAGCCAAGCGCTCCAGCGTGAAAACTGGCAGCTCGGCCACAAGAAGGTCTTCATGCGCGACTCGCAGCTCCGCGTGCTCGACGCCGTCGTGCGTAAGGTGCGCATCGACGCAGCGATTACGCTTCAAAAGTACGCGCGCCGCCAACTCGCGCGCAAACGGTACACCTTCATCTCTTTCATTTGTTGATACATTGATACAAAACAAAAATCCAATGAAATAGGTATACCAAGCAGCGCCGCGGCATTATCGCGCTGCAGGCGCTCGTGCGCATGCACCAAGCCCGTCGTCGGTTTGTCGTCCTGCGTCGCCGCATCACGTGCCTCAACTCGCACGTGCGCAAGTGGCTCGCGCGCCGTCGCTTCGTCCGCATCCGCAAGGCCATCGTCCGCGTCCAGGCCTGCGTCCGTGGTCGTCGCGCGCGCAAGGTACAATATTTACATCAATGCGTCCACTCTACATATGCATGCTGCTAGCGTGTTGCGTACATGCGGGCGGCGCCCAAGGCGGCGACGACCATCGGCAAGCACATGCGTCGGTACCTCGCGCGCAAGCACTACCTGCACGCGAAGGCCAGTGCCACGCGCATCCAAAGCGTTGTGCGCATGCACCTGGCGCGCACGCGCTTTCTGCGCCTCCGGAAAGCCATGATCCTCGTCTCCAAGAACATCAAGCGCTTCGTCACGCGTCGCCACTACAAGCGCATGCAGGTGGCGGCCATTGCTCTGCACGCCGTCGGTCGCGGTTTCCTCGCGCGCCTCAAGTATGGCAAGAAGGCGCGTCTCCGTGCTCAGCTCCGTGCCCGTGCGCAGACCACGATCGCGCGGTATGTTTCATTTTTGTCGTTTTTCGTCCGATACATTGATACATTAGCATGGTGCGCGGGTATCTCGGGCGGCTGCACTACCGCCACGCGAGGCACCTCATTGTGATTGTGCAAGCCCGCGTGCGGGCCAACCGTGTGCGGACGGCGTACCTCCAGGGCCGCCAAGCGACCATCAACTCGCAAGCCATGATCCGCCGGTCGCTCGCGCGTCGCAAGTTTTTGAAGGAGAAGCGCATGGCCACGCGTCTCTGCGCCTTTGGCCGCATGATCATTGCGCGCCGCCAGTACCTCTTGGCCAAGCGCCGCATCGTGCTCGTCCAGTCGCTCGTGCGCCGGTACCTCCAGGGCAAGCAGTACGTCACACAATCCATACCCCACCTCTCTCGCGCTTGTGCTAAGTTGCTCTCTAGTTATCGCAACATTCGCAAGCAGTTTGTCAAGATCCAGGCGTGCTGGCGCCGGAAACAGTGCGTCGCGCAGTACCAAAAGACGCGCCGTGCCATCATTGTGATCCAGTCGTTTGGCCGCATGATTCCGGCGCGTCGACAGCTCCTGGTGTCGCAAGCGGTACGTACAGCGAGCGTCAACGCAAGTTCGATAACACTGCATAGGCGGCGACACGCTTGACGTCGGTGGTGCGCATGTTCTTGGCGCGCCAGGCGTATCTTCGCAACAAAAAGCGCATCGTGGCGATCCAATCGGTCGCGCGGCAGTGGATGGCCCGAAAGCGGTACGTGGTGACGCGCCAGCGCATCATTCGCGTCCAAGCCCAGATTCGATCGCGTACGTCTCTTCTTGCGTGTTGCCTTCGACTAACGAAGCATATCGCCTAGTCTTGGCCCGCAAGGTCATGGACAAGCAGCGCCGGGGCATGATGCGCGTGATTTTGGTCATCAAAAAGTACCTCGCGCGCATCCGCCTCCAAAAGAAGATCAAGTTGATGTTTGCGGCCGCCCAAGCGTTCGACTTGACGACCATTTTGCGTCTCAGTCAGGACAAGGACATTCCCAACTCGACGCTCGTGCGCGGTATATATTGTCTTCTTGGTGTCGACATGGAAGATGACAATCTTTCCACGATCTAGTGCGCGACAAGAGCAACTACCTGCGGTCGCTCGTGCACATTGCCGCGATCAACTGCGACTTGAACCTCGCCCGCTTTGTGCTCTCTGAGATCCCCAACATGGAAGACCAAGTCATCTCCAAGGACACGCTCGGCAACACGCCGCTGCACTACGCCGCGCGCCTCGCGCATCTCGACATGGTCAAGCTCCTCGCCAAGATCGCCAACCGCATCCAAGCACCCCCGCCGGTGCCGACACCGACGTCGAGTCCCGTGGGCGCGTCGCCCGCCAACAGCAAGGACCAGTCGCCGGACGCCATGCTGCGCAAGAACTCGAGTTTTGGCACGCCGCGGTCGCCGGGCCTTCGGTCGCCGTCCATCGGCGGCATCATGGGTGGCGCCGTGCCGCCGACGCCGCAGCAAAAGAACAACCGCCGGAAGCTCGTCTCGAGTGCGTCGCAGATGCCGGCCATGTCCACGGCTCCGATCGAGCTCCCACCCGGTACGCATCGCTCGAGTGTGGAGCGTTTCTCAGATCTGATGGCATCTAGATATGACCAAGGTGATCAAAGCGGGTCCGTTGCGCATGGCCAGCGGCGCCAAGATGGCGTCCAAGCGTCACGTCGTGCTCGATCCCGTCGCGATCGCAGCCTACAAGACCGCCAACGACCGCGTACGTTGCCGTTCCTTCGTGTCCCACGGGTTCTAATGGTACAAAACTAGATTCCGGTCAAGATCCTCGAGCTTGGCGATGCGACGCTCCGCCGCGCGTCGACGATCGAGCATTGTTTCGAGATCATTTCGCCGCGGCTCAAGAGCCACACCAACCTCACGGGTGTGCTCTCGTTCGTCGCCGACACGGAGGCCGAGGTGCACGAGTGGATGCTGGCGCTGCGCGAGGTGCACTTTTTCATCTTTTTCAACGCTTTTTCGGATGTCCCGATCTCATTCATTTGTCGACTTGAATTAGATCAACGGGATGCGCATCGCGACGACGGTCCCGCCCAACCACAACATGATCTGCATCGACATGCTCCAGCGCAAGGAGTTTGTCAACAGCCAAAACAACCACCACGAGGCGCCATTGCACCTCGCGGTGCAAAACTCGGAGGACGAGGGGTTCGAAGCCGTCAAGACCGCGGTCTGGCTCATTGAGAACGACGCCGACATCAACGCCAAGGACACGCTCGGCAACACGCCGCTGCACTACGCCGTCATCCAAGAACGCGACGACCTCATCGAGAGTCTCCTCAAGAAGGGCGCGCTCACTACGATCCGCAACAACGCGGGCGACACGCCCGTGGACCTCGCCAACGACGAGTCGATGCGCGAGCTCTTTGCCCCCGGCGCCGTCGTCGCCGTACGGATTTCTGGTCCAATACTTTTGATGGCTTACGAATTGATCTCTGTAGGTCCCCGCGGACCGCAGCTTGCTCCCGCGGCCGTCCGGTCCGCTCAAGGTGCGCGACGGCACGTACGTCTCGGTGCTGCTGAGCGCCGTCGCGATTGCGGGCGGCGTGATGCAGACGCCCCACTTCCGCATCTACTCGATGGACCCGCGCCGCGCGGTGGTCGACACGCCGCAGACGACGCCGGATGCGCTGATCCAGGACGGCCCGAGCCTCTGGTTTGGCAACACGTGGCATCTCCAGGTGCCGCTCGAGCACATGACGGAAGGCTGCGTCGCGGTCTTTGAGCTGCTTCGGTACGACTACCACACGGACGGCCCGGAAGTGTTTTGCTGGACCTTCTTCCGCTTGGATCTGAGCAAGATCACGAGCGCGCCGCTGACGTTTGAAATGTACTCGCCGCCCGTGGACCCGTACAGCCAGATCCTTGCCCGCATGCCCGGCGACTCGTTCTTCCAGGCCGAGCTCAACATCTCGTTGTAGTTACTGGAGGAACCGATCATCTTTTCTATCGCTATATTTGATCAATGTACAAGATGTCTTTTGTCGACAACAGAGCGCGTTCCCTGGACAAGAAAAGAGCCTCAAAGCATTTACTAGGAACATCTTAGGCGGAGTCCTTGCGCTGGTACCTTGGCGTCGCGAATCGCCTTGAGCTCTTGACGCGGTGGGCGGTGATGCGGACGCTTGTGGGGTACTTGAAATCGCGTGTGGCGGCTTGGTGGTGTTTGGTGCACACGCGGGCGAAGCCGCCTTGTGTGACGCGTTGGCCGCCTTCTCCTTTTTCGGTCACCTTCTTCCACTGCAGCATGGCCGCCGAGTGGATACCGCCGTCACAATCTGGGTCACTTGATGGCTGGGTTCAAGAATGGACTTGACATTTGTATGGATGGCTTGCCCGCGGATGGCCGAGTAGTTTCTCGCTCCTGCGATATCGTGCCGCTGGCCTGGCAAAACCGCGTTTACAGCCGGCCGAGTTTTCGTACCGGTGTGAGGGGGCGACTAGCAAAGCAGAGACAATGAAACTGCTGCTGCTGCGCATAAACTACACGTACATCATGGTTGAGTGAGCACAGCGATGCACAGAGATGGTAGACGCGTGAGTTGTCGTCGTTCTCGACGAAAAAGCTCCGGCTGAAGGGCAATCTCAGATCGGAGCACACGGTGGCGCGGCTCGATGGTGGCTCGCCGCTGCATATACCTCGCCCAGGCCCCGTTTTGAAAGCTGCCATCCATGCTAGCCTCATTTTGCGCAACGAACTGCCAAGTGTCACTCGTGCACTTCCAATTGTACTACAGGTACCGCAAATGCGAGGCGGCAGCTGACAAGCTTGATGCTTTGGGTGATTATAGACCTGACTACTAATATGTAGTGTATGATAGGCCTAAAAAAACGCAAGTTGGACCTCAAAAGGGAGGATCTCAAAGTTTGTCGGGAGCTCCTGGCGGCGGGTTCCCGACGACTGAGAATGGTTCCTTGCCGATCTCTCTCGAAACCCGAAATGAGGAGGTATTATGCACATCAAGCGTACGATTGGCGTACCGGTACCGGTACTTGGGCATGGCCTTGTGTAGCCGTTGGCATGGGTGTTGACGAGTGGGTTGAAATGGTATTTTCACGCAAACAAATTGATTTTCTACTAAGCGCGCTATTTTACATTTTACTACGACTATAGGACGAAGGCCAAGGTACTTTTCAGGCCACACGCGAGGTCTGCGATCATGTAAGACACTACAATAAAGGCAACGACGCGTGTACCTCGTTGCGCTTGGAGGTATGGGCGCGTTCCTAGACGAAAAAAGCAAACGGACAGTCGCCATAACGTCAGCCACCGAGCCTCCGAGTAGAAAAAAGCCCACTCCGTCCGGGCTCGGCATGCGTTTGCGCTTCGGATCGTTGGGCGCCATCGTGCTCTTGAGCTCGACGAGCAGCTTGGCGTGCGCCTGTAACTCGGAACATGCACATAGAACAAGTCGCGAGCCTTGTCGCGGGGGTACCGCTTGATGGTGCGCCTTGAGCGCTGTGTTGGCTTCGGCTTCCTTCCAGACGTGGTGGAACGACTTGTAGCCGACGTCCAAAAGAACATGCGTCGAGCGGGCGTGGCTCACAAGGCTGGCCCACAACTCGTTTTGCGACAAGTTAGACGCATTGCCTACATATCATAGTGAGTGCGACCACAATATGTAAGGTACAGCAAGTCGCGTAGTACCGACGACGTAAGTGCCAAACTTGCCCCGCGTCAAGGCGACGTTCAGGCGCTGCGGCGAGTTCAAAAAGCCGATTCCATGGGACCGAACGGCCGAAAAGATGACGATGTCCGCCTCGCGGCCCTAGCAGTGCCATGGGATACCATACACAAGATGTGGAGGGACACACCTGGTAGCCGTCGATCGTGTGCACCTCAATGTCCGTCCACTTTCGTTTGGTCACCATGTCGCTCAGCAGGACCAGCTGGTCGCGGTACGGCGTCAGCAGAACGATCATCCACGTTTTATGGCTGACGAGGTCGACGGTATCCTTCATGTGCGTAACCTACGCCATCGGCGCGTGATGCGAGGGACGCATATCACATGTCGCACCATGTCGATGACAAACGCAGCGTCGGCCGAGTTGCGCGTGACGTGCTTTTTGAGTTGGCCGTCGCGGTCTTGGTGGAATGCTGTATTGAAAAACACGAACGGCTGGTAGCACGGGTGCTTGTACACTTGCATGCCCAGCGTATGGAGCCGCGTCGCAATCACAGGGCCGTCCGACAAAATGCCATTGTAAAAGGCCTTGGACGGGAACTCCCGCAAGAACGGATGCATGCGGTACTGCGTCTACAACCAAAACGCACATGAGATACAGACCGATAATGCAGTGTGTACCTCAAAGACGACGCAGGGCACACCGAGCTTGAACAGCCGCTCAAACATCGACTGCTGCAGTCCGTCTTTGGCAGCCTCGACCATGACGGTCGCCATGAGCTGCCGGTGGTCGCCGACGAGGATCGCGCGGTTGGTGCGCAGCGTTAATGCAAGAGCCGTGCTCGGCTCCGTGGCTTGGCCCGCCTCGTCGACAATGACGGCATCAAACCTACGTGTACGATTCAGACACGAATTTATACAGAAACATACATACCCGTGGGGAATCGAGCGCAGCTGCTCACTGCCGCACTGCGACAGCGTGCACACGATAATGTCCGCCTTGGCGAGTAGCGCGGCCGTGATACGGGACTTCGCCGCCGAGAGTTGTGCCTTGAGGTAGTTCTTTTGTTGCAGCAGCACCTCGCGCTGACGGTGCCAGCCTTGCACGTCGGAAGCCGACACCGCGCTGGGCTTCCGGTTGGCGCGATAGGCTTGAAACTTGACGTTGATCGCTTCTTCGTACCGCCCCACGCGTTGCAGCTCTTTGGACGCGGAGAGACTTGCGACCTCTGCGGCCACGACGTTGTCGATGCAGGCCTGCTGCACGATTGCTGGAGCGCCTTCCTGGACGCGACCAAGGCGCAAAACGGTGCAGACACGGCCCGAACCCGACGACACACATTGTGGCGGCGTGACAACGACGGCGTGACCGTCGCGGCCCAAAATACCGTCCTTCAGAAGGCTTGCCACGAGGCCGTCGACGGCGCAGTTGGACGGCGCGCACAAGAGCACACGGGCTGACTCGTCGGCCGCCGCGAGCACCGCACTTGTCGCCATGCGGATGGTGCGGGACTTGCCCGTGCCCGGCGGCCCTTGGAGCAGCTTGATGCCGGGCGTCTCGCTTGCGACGAGGTTGACGGCCTTGCACTGGCTCGGGTCGGTTTCAGCCGCGAGACGCGCCCGCAACGGTGCTGGGATGCACGTGGGATCGACCTAGTTTTATACATATCGAAAGGATGCTGCATGAAATCAACACCATACGTCGTGGGCAGACATCTCCCCATGCTGATGGGCGAGATTTGCCTCGACGGGACCGTCCTACCATGCTCCATGAGCGACGACACACATGCAAATAGCAATAAGCAATACCTTGGAGGCGATCGACGAGGCCGCAATGGCGGTCGTCGAGCGGAGCGGCGCAGAAAGCAGCCCGGCTTGAAGGTGCGGCGGGATATCGCCGATGGAGGCGACCGCCATGTACTCCCGAAGGGAGGTCGTGACGCTCCCGATGGCCTTGAGCTTGATCGATGTGCCCACACCGTCCATCCAGCGAGGCAAGACCAGCATCTTCATCGCCTTGTCGTTGCACGAGCGAATGACGCCATATCCTTGGCGATGCCCATCCTAAACCACGTGCATCATTAAGGCAACCAATGGTGACGCATCGTGACGCACCGCAAAATAGACGACGTCATGCGGCTTCGTGCCGCGATGCGAGACCGCGAGCGTCACCTCGGTCAGCGTCGTCGTGCCGTGTGTCCCAGACGGGGTCGACACGATGCACGACCCTTCACACGTCACTCGCACGGCGCTGCGCATGTCGGGGCTACGCAAACGCGACGTCAATGCACGCCGAGACATAGAAAACGTACGCAAGGTCGAGGCCGCCAAGCGCCTCCGCAACGACGAGCGGCCCAAAGACGTCTTGGTATTGCTTCGGCGACGTAAAGAGCGGCGGCACGACCGGGAGCTCCACTTGCTTCTCGATGCGAGCCAAGACCTTCTGGAAGAAAATGTCGGGGCGCGTCGTTGTGGCGGACACCTTGGCGTCGCGGATCGCCTTGAACTCTTGTTGCAACGTAGTGAGCGGCGACGCGGCCGGACTCGGGATGGCTGCCGGCGGCTTGATGTCGCTCGGTGCACTGCTAGACGAAGCCGCTTCGAGCGACGTTTTGGCCGTCTTGTTCTTCTCGGCCGTCTTGCTCATCTCGGCCGTCTTGTTCATCTCGGCCGTCTTGCTCTTCTCGGCCGTCTTGTTCTTCTCGGCCGTCTTCTTTCGTTGCGCTAGAATAGCCGCATAGTCGATGTCCCCATAAAAGGAAGGGTTTGCAGCCTCGTGGTGAGCGACAGTCGCGGGGTGCGTCGATGGCGTGACACAATTCGGGTTACCACCCTTGTTCTTCTTGTGACGGCTCTTCTGTGTCGCTGGTGGCGTCTTCATCTTGGCGACCACGCTTGTCTGGAAACGACGCGTGCAGCCGCTCTTCTCGACAGCTCGGAGCAGTACTTCGACTTGAGAGGCGCCCATCTTGACGTCTTGACTTGCCGGTGGGCCTTGATGTATACGTCGTGCTCCGTGGGCGATGACGACGTCGTGGGTCGACACGAGCAAAGCGCGGCAGGTTGTCTTGATCGACGCCATGCCGCGCGCCGTGACCATAAAGGGTCGGGCGTTCTTCCCGTCCTTCCTCAACAAGACGATGTAGTCGTCCTTGTACGGCGCGTGGGACCAAAGCGCCGTCCGTACGTCGCCGAGGTCGCCGTCGACATGGACTGTCCGGAGCGCCCGGACCACTGCATCCTGCTCGAGGGCAGACGAGACGATGGACCGCATCAGGCGCATCGAGTCGACGCTACCAAGACCGAGGTCGGCCTCGACCGTGCTCGTGTCGACGTAGCGCTCATTCTGGGCTGTCTTCTTCACCCACGCGTGCATGAGGCCGAGTTGTGAAAAGTGCATCCAATTGGCGTGTAAAAACACCACACACGTGTGGTACATTTCCCACGCGTGTGTGTATTTTACACGCCATGTGATTTTGCGGCGCCAGAGCCAGCGATCTGATTGGTGGTTGTGGGGGTCGAGACGGCTTCTGATTGGTGACCCTATCTAGGCTACCTCCAAGAATGCATTGATGCGCATCATGTTTCGGAGTGTGTAGACGGCGGCCCATTTCGGATCCGACGACACGGCCGGCACCCACCCCGATCCCAAGGACTGATACGTCAACAACGACGGCAAATCAGCCTGTGGCGAGTGCCATGCCATCAACAGACACATCACGGGCTGCACATAGGACCCCAAGAGCCGCGCTCAGTCTGCGATGGACCCAACCCAGCTGCCTCGCCCGGCTCGAGCCAGCCGCCGCCGGGCAAGATGTGTACGACTGTGATGCTGCGGCTCAAAAAGGCGACACTGACGAGGGTGATGAAGCCATCGCAGGCGACGAGTCCATCGCGCATAGCCGTCCGGACCTCAAGCGCATCTGGACGACATGTTGCGGAGCGTCTCGGCGACACTTCCGAGGCCGGCGCCCGTGTGGCGCAGTTGGCGGCCTTGGGCAAGACCAAGTGGCCCAACGACTCTTTCATGCTCCCAAACGCGCTGCTCAAGGCAGGTGACCCGACGATGCTCGACTTCTTTTTCTCCAACAGTCTTCGTCATGTGCCAGCTCTTGTTTACGCCGACGTCATGGGCGACTTTGGCTTGAAGTGCGTTGCGTGTGGGGAGCAATCGCATAAAATACACGACGTCTAGGTCGTGCTCTCTGCCCGCTTGCGCTGCTTTTAGAGGTGTCGAACTAAAGTCCGCTCGTTCAAGCACCCAGACTGCCCTGCGTCTGCCGCGGCACATGCAACACCAACTGCGGCTTTTGCAACCGTGCGTCTTGGATCACCCAGCAACTCGACGCGCTGCGGAATTCTACTTTATCATGCAAAGCCATCCAATGCATCGGTGAAAATGGTGAGAGACTACTCCATGTGCCTTTACATTCGCATGTCATTTGTTGCGCAAGTCGACGAATACGCGGAATAAGATTTCGAAAGCTCGATTCAATGCAGCATCACTGTGTAGAGGACACTTGGCCGTGCTTTGATAATGTAAAGTCGTCATAATCATTAGTGAAAAGGTTGCCAATGCTAGGATAGTACCAAGTTTTCTATTTAGCATGCAGCTTCGTTGCTTCGTATGGCGTAGATGTTGCCGACTCGATTTGGTGGAATAAAATCGCCACCGAATGAGCCGCCACTGACCACAGAGCCATCGATGACATGCACAGGAGAATCGGATCGACATTAACGGGATCTGACGAGGCTATTCTCATGGCCATTGGGCTGCAGTGCAGTCGATTTATCGATCGACCACTCGTAACCCTAGCCCTGATTCGAAACCAGAGAATAAGTCGACTTAGCGCTTGTATCGAACGGGATACTATTGTCCGCGCCGCTTGTGGACACCTCATCCTCGTTCGACCGTCGACACGCGCTTGAAGCAGCGAGCCCTCGTTCGATATAAAAAGAGCTGTGGGTTGGTATCGCATACAAGAAGCAAGACAACATGGCTGCCTTGCAACCGAGCGCTGGTGTCAATTCGCATTGCGCCCCGTCCCGAGCCCACCTCGTCCCACGTCGTCTTCTCGACCATTGATGGCGAGTCTGCTTCGTTTGAATCCGTACGCATGGCTACCCCAGCGCCGCCAGCAACGTTCACCGTCATGCGCAGCCGCGTCACGGAGGCTGACCTCATGGCTGCGATCCGAGAGTTCAAGCGGCGCGGGGCCAACGGCGACGACGTCGACCTGCTCATTGCCCAAAACGTGCTTCTCCGCCGCTGGCTGGACGGTCCTTATTCCAGTGGCGCGGTCTTCCGAGCAACGTACGATGGCGACGTCATTACCAAGACGACCCGCGGCGACATTTACATCACTACGGTGCCTGGTGAAGTGCACCAAGAGGCGATTCGGCTTCTGGGCCGCGTTGTGGACGACGCCTTGACGGATACGCCGTTAGAGTGCGTCATGGGCGTCTATTACGACCATGCCGGCCACGTCCGCACACCCGACCTCGCGGTTCAACAAACGAACCCGGTTCTCGACGACCCCAACAGCCATTTGCCCCGCTGCATGATCGAGGTCACCGTCACGCACCGCACGTCGTTCAATCGGCACGACCTGGATACCCGCGCACTCTTCGATGAGTTTCCCCCGCTCCAGACGGTCCTTGTTGTCGTCCTCTACCCGCTGCGGGACGCAGCGACGCTTGACCCCAACATGAACCCCATCTTGGCTCAGATGCCTGCCCTCGCTGTGCTCTACCGTCGTTTTGGCAACAACATTGCGATCACGGATGCCATGAGCTGCGGCAACGTTGCTCTTGACGATGGCGTGTACCTTCCAGGGCACATACAGGTGCGCAACGAGGTCGCTGCGATGGCTGCCGAGCTGCCGCAAGTCATCGAGCGCCAGCCGCATGATCAGGGACCTTCCATTACGCTGCTTGGCGACGATCTGTACCGCGCCACAAATGAACACGGCCATATTATTCAGGGCTTGCTCCCCGACTACCCCGTGCATTTGGCAACGACGATCGCCACATCGATTCGGACAGGATTCAAAGTCGCCACCCGAGCCAACGCCCTCGCCGCACTTGCTGCTGCTGGACAAGCTGCTGCCGAGCAAGCAGCCGCTGCGGCACCGAATGTCGGTCGCCGCAACCACCGCTACAACCTCCGCCACTGAGAGAGAACCATCCAGGCGTCTATACTCTAAGAGCGTCTTGTGCGCCAGGAGCGTCACGCTCACGATTCTTGTCGACGCAAATGAAATGTGTTGAAATGGTCGTGAGCCATGACACCGCTGCAATTGCGCATTCCATGACTTCTGAAAGAACTCGTCTTGTACGCCAAACCCACGGTCCACAAAGCGTTTGTTCCTAGTAGTGGAATTGAAATTTGCTGAGCAGAAGCCAGATCGTGTTGCGTTATTTTGGTGCCAACAGCCAATCAGTGTATGGTAGCAGCGGTGTAGCTTGACGGGAGTGCTTGAGCTCGTGCTGGACGCACATGCGAATCGACATGTCAATGCAGTGGCTCCTGCTACCCGGGCCTGTACGTCACAACAGCACGTGTTTGTCCGACAGGGCCGTGCTTGTGGTCGCATGTGGTACTTTCAACGATATCTTGCAGTGTGATCTGTGACGCCCAAGCGTCACTCGCGATGTTTCAAAGCGTCGTAGTCTCGTGGTCGCGAACGCTTTCAACATGGAGGATCGTTGGCCGTGGCGAGTGCTCGTCAAGATCGCCAAGTGTTCGTCCATTCCACCAATCCAAAGGATTGACGCGTTTAACCCACTCGACGTCCACCGATTGGCGGGGTGTTACTCTTTTTGGCCAATCCAAATTGATTTAAAGTACACCAATCATACATCGGTATTCGCATCTTTTGCACCAATCGCCGTGCGGAATCATCCGGCCAATCCTTCGTGCCAATAAGATTCCAGCGAGAATGGACCATCTCCGCAACGCGATGGACGAGCCCGACGCCTCGCAGACGCAGATGCCCGACGACTCGCCGACGCAGATGCCGGACGCCTCGCAGACGCAGATGCCCGAGGAAGCGCCGTCGCTCGTCATGATGCTGCAGATGCCACTCGACATGTCGGAGCGGGTCAGCGTCCATGGCAACGACGAGGCGAACCACGACGACGATGTCGACGACGATGGCCGCGTCGCGTTCCCGCGCGAGCTGGCCGCGCCGGCCTTTGATGCGATCGAGGGCGAGAGTCCGGTGCTCCTCGACGGCGTGCTGCCCGAGGCGCCGCCGGGCCCCGACTTTGAGTTTGCGCACGTGCTGCACACGAACGACATGGTCGACTACTCGTCGAGCAGCCACATTCGTCGGCGCGGCGTCAAGGCCCGCGTCGTGCCCGTCGCGCGGTACTTCCCGCTCGTGCCGCCGCCTACGTACCAGCCGCCGGGCAACGCGACCAAGTCGATCCACCAGCAGGTCGCGCTGCGTCTCGCCTTTCTGCGCAACAGCCGCCCGACGAAATCCGAGCTCCTCGAGCTCAGCGCGTCGACGGGGCTTCCGTGGCTCGAGATTGCGACGTGGTTCAAGGGCGAGCGCTGGCGCGTCCGACGCGCCGGCGGCCTCGTCTCGCTCGAAGGCGGCAAGCCGACGCCAAACGCTTGGGCGCTGGTCATGGACGGTCTCGCGCTCGAAGCGCCGCGGACAATCGCAAGCACGACGAAAGCGACGATCGAGACGCGCACCAAGGAAAAGGCGGCGCTGCGCAAGCTGCTCACGCCGGCGCAGAAGGCCCTCAGCACGGCCTGGGCGGTACGGCTCGTCTTGCATCATCAACGGTATTGACTACGTCGATAGATGCAATACGCCGACGTCGACGATGCCAACGAGCGCGCGTTCCGCGTCGGTGCGCTCGTCGACCATATGGACGTGCGCCGCCGCAAGGAGTTTCGCAAGCTGCTCGTCGCCGAGCCAAGCCTCGCGCTGCGGGCCGACACCGAGTCCAAGATCCGCAAGTCGTGCGCTGACGCCACGTGCACGCGCGAGGTCGTGGCCGCGCGCGCTGACCAGTGCTGGTCCTTTATGGAGTCGCGCTTTGGAGCCGCCAACGACCAAGGCGATGAAAAATACGTCGACGATGGTATTTTCCGTATATTTTCCAGTGTTTTCCTCCATTTCCATATGAGTGTAGATGGCAACATCTTGCTCGATGCGAGTCTGCTCAGCGGCATGGAATGCATGTTCTTGCGGCACCGCGACTACTTTATGGCGCTCGTCCACCGCCTAAAAGTGCACGGTACCCTCCTCTCTACTATCGATTGTCTGTCCTATCCCGCGTCTCGTAGACTTTTTCCAAGAGCTTTCCGACCGCCCACACAAGCGGGCGCGCGTCGACGGCCAACCCGAGGCCATACCACCGAGCGAAGACGACGACATGGCACCGCGCCAAGTCGACGACATGCACGAAGAAGCACACAATGAGCACGTCGACAATCCCAACCGGGCGACCGTGTAAGAAAGGATGGTGTGTAAGTTAAAGTAAGATCTCATTGTGGCAGCTCTGCGTGAGCACCTTGCGCGGAAGCACGACGCAGTTGCGGACAATGATCTCGGGCGCACAGAGCACGGACGTGCCAAAGATAGTCACATCGCGCGGGATGGACGTGTCGGCGCCAGATGGCTTGGCCATCGTGTCGTTCGGCGGCTCGCCTTCGACCCGCGCCCACTCGCCGACCGTGCAGTTCCAGCCCAGGATCGAAAAGAGCACACACGCGTGGTCCTTGATCGTCGCGCCTGCGAGCACGATCGAATGGGCAACACGAACCCCTTTGCCAATGCTGACGCCGGCGGCAATCACGACATTCGGGCCGAGCTTGGCGCTGGGATGGATGGTTGCACTCGGATCAATCACCACATTGCCTAGCTTCGCGCATCAGTACGACGCCACGAGAGAGACTTTATGCCTTCAATGTGCGGCGAGAGCTTCCCGCCCGTCGACGAGAGCAGCGTCGGGTCGACGTACCGGTACCGCTGCATGTACAGCTCCGAGCACATGACGGCCATGCCGGGCGTCTTGATCTGGCACCAAAAGTCACCGGTCTCGTACACGTAGAGCTCTTGCTGGCCAGCCATTGGAATCAAAATGTCTTGTTCGAGGCTATCGCAACAGTAGCGAGTCAACCTCCTTTCCACACACAAGCATGATAAGAGAATTGATGTCTGTCTACCTGAGGCCATTGACGCATTCTTGGAAAAGAGGCTTGTACGGGAACCGCGGCTGGTTGCGGCTGGCCTGTGCGGCGGCGGCGCGCGCGTCGCCGACGTCCATGATGCGTCCAAGCACTTTGATATTGAAGAGGTAGATGCCGCAGTTGATGAGGTCGCTCACAAACGTCTCGGGCTTCTCGGCCCAGTGGACGACCTCGCACGCGTCGTCGGCGACGATGCAGCCGTACGTTTTGGCTTCGTCCGGAAACACGCGCTTCCCGAGCATCGTGCAGGACGCATGCGTCCGGAGGTGCTGGTAGACCATGTCCTGGAGCGGAAAGCTGCAGCAAATGTCGTAATGGAGCACGAAGAGCATGTCGGGCGACCCGACCATGATGTCGTCAAAGAAGACGCGGAGGCCGCCGGCGGTGCCCAATGGCTCGCGCTCCTGGAGGTACCGGATGGGCACGAGGATCTCGCGCATGACAATGTCGAGGAAGCGCGCAAAGAGGCCTTCGTCGTGGCCGCCGATGAGGAGGATCTCGGTCATGTGGGGCACCTTGGCGCAGGCCTCGACGTGGTGGTAGAGCATCGGCCGGCCCGCGATCGGGAAGAGCGGCTTGGGCTGGTCCATCGAGAGCGGGCGAAAGTACCGGTCCTCATGGCCACCGACGAGGATCACGGCCTTCGACTTGGGCTGGCACCGGGTCATCGGGTCGACGCCGCCTTTTTTCTTGCCAAAAAGGCCCACGGCCAATCACAGCCCAGCCATACGCCAATGAACGCACCAGGACGCGCGTGACAACGGCGCGTCATCGCCTCCCATAACGCATAGCTTGCACGTTTCGATGACGTGAGATCGCAACGGACGTCAAGGGACACGGCCCTGCGAATGGCTCGACCACTAAGCCAGTAGTCGGATTTGGACGAGACGACTAACGAAATGACGAGGTTGCAGTCGAGCGCTTACCATTCTGCAAGATGAGGGGTGCATCAGCAGAGAAAAAGTCGTCCATCCATACTACGCGCTGCAGCCGTCTTGTGGCGGCTGCAGCGATTTCCCAAAAGAGGCGGCTTTGATTCAAAGTCACTCGCCGACGCGGATCCATCGATGGTCCGCAGGATGCAGTACCAGTGCAATATACTAGGTACATTGAAGCGAGCGATGAACGACCCCACCAATCAAGCCGAGTGCTTTATCCCTATCACCAAATGCAGGAAGCTGGTGCGTTCTGTGCACCAAACGACAGTCCCGGACGGCCAACGACAGCAGAGAACTTTGCACAACAAGAAGATGTGGGGAAGCCAAGCAAGATTCGTGCCCAAGCAGTGATATTTCGCATCGTCGCTTGCAGCTGCGGCTTGCGTGCATCGAAGGCGACGACAGAGCCCCATGAAGAGACCAACCAACGCACAGAAGGCCGCGCGTTCGTCGTTCGTTGTTCCGTGCTGGCCTTCTTCATGGCGCGGGAATTGGGTGCGTGGGGCTCAACGGAACCTGCCCTCTCGGACTGCCACGTCATCTCTTTGAGTGGTTCGGAGCAACGATCTTGGAACGCTCTCGCATTCTCCTTGTACGAACCTGCGTACACTGTAGTGAGAGCGTCGTGAGAGAGTGCTGTTGACGCAACAAACTCCTCCCACTCGTAGCATCAGCAAGCGTATCTTCCCAGCAATCTGGTTCGATCCCTTGATATTTAATACCCTTTTAGAATAGATAAAAACACGTCACCGATGGCGAAGTCGAAGGCAGTCAGCTGCGATGACCCTGCACGGCTTGTCGACCACCGCGCTCCTCGCACTCGGCCCGCTATGCGTCTATGGCACCGCGCTGGGCGCCGTTGGCTGCAGCCATAGCCTCTCGGCGGTCCTCGCGGGCCTCTCATTCTTTGTCTTCTGCGACGGCTGGTACTTTCTCGACATGGCCATCTACCAGCTCCACCTGCTCGTGCTGCCGCTGCCTCGCAAGCCTCGCACCGACTTGGTCGACACGTACATCCGCCATGGCCGCGTCTCGCTCGGCGACATTGACCGGAACGGCCACTGCAACAACGCGCGGTACCTTCGCGAATGCGGCTTTGGGCGACGGGACTTTTGGCGCGCCAACGGCGTCTGGGCCCTCCTGCGCGCAGAAAGCGGCAACCTCGTTGTAGGCGCGCAGACCGTCCGATACCGGCGCGAGCTCTCGTTGGGCCAAGCATTCTCGCTCGAGACGCGGGTGCTGGCGTGGGACGACCAGGCGTTCTACGTCGAGCAGCGCTTCGTCACGCGGTGCGAGGACGGGAAGCAAGACTTTGTGCACGCGATCGTATACGTCAAGAACAACGTGCTGGGGCGACTGCGGCCGTCGGACCTCGTCGCCATGGTCGCGCCAGGTCTGTCGCCGCCGCCGATCCCGGACGAAGTCCAGCTCTGGATCGAGAGCAATGCTGCGTCGAGTGCTGCCCTGCGCCCGAAGAGCAACTAGACACCAAGAACGTTGGGACGCGATAAATAGATCTCTGTTGCACGACGCTCGCCATCATTTTCTTCCTACGACGACGGACTCTAATTAGGGCTAAACTACACGGACACGGCGGCATCTTTATGCCGAATCGTCTTCTTCTTCGTCATCCTCTTCGACGACCTTGGTCAGTGCCTTGTCCTTGGGCGCCGTGAAGAGCGCCACCGTCGGCTTGATCGAGAACGACTTCTTCATAAACATCATCTCTTGGATGATGTCGAGCGTGTCTTCGTCCGAGCCAATGCAGAGAAAGTTGGAGAGCGCACGGTGGGCCTCGTTGAAGGTCGTCGACGGCTGCAGCATCTTAAAGTTGAGCGTGTCCATAGTACTGAGCGGGGAAGAAGTTTGCGTTCGAAGGGCGGTGCCGATTTGGAAATGACCCAAACGCCGCTTGCGCTGTGAGATTACCCATCTCCGTCAACGCGGCCGAAATTATTTGGTGTCTCAGATTTCGAAATTTACACCCGTTGCGTCTCAGTCAGTCGCAATGTTCCCGAAAGCGTCTCATGTTGAAGGTGTCCCATCGTGATACACAGCGTTGCAGTCTCCGTAGAGGTGCGCACCACCTTGATAATGATGGTGAGAGCAAAGGAGTGGAAAACCATGAAGGCAAGCGATGCATACTTGGCTCGGCCCTGGCCTTGATATGTAGAGAAATGCATTCCAGCACGGAAAGGGAACGTTCGCTGATGGCCTGTCTGTAGCGTCTCTAAGCGTGACGCACTGCAAGTGGCCAAGTAAGTCACGGAGACACTGTCGAGAAAGCGCCAAAAGATCCATGGCTGGCGTCGCCAAGGTTTTTTCCTAATTAGGATGAGTGATGTGGCATAGAAAGCCGAAAGACCGAATTTGAACAATCTCGGTGCAGACGTTGAACTTGAGGATTCCAAGGGACACAGTGGGACGGTCTCTTGTAAGTGCGCCGCTCCCCACACATAGAAAACACACGTTCAATCTCTACTAAGTTCGCTTTCCAATGATGACGGAAACCGCCAAATTTGCAGAAGCGACGCGTCATAGGGCTAGGGCTATGACATGTCGAAGCGACTTGCGCCAATCACAAGTCGATTAGATCGGTGTCACAGCCCCTGCGCTGAGGCGCTACAACGCTACTGCGTGAGGCGGCGGCGACGGACGATGACGCCGCCTTCTACTTCCCTTCTCGTTCTCGCCGTAGGGGACTTGCAGGCTTTTTCTTCTTCCACCGATTGACGGCAAAGGGAGGATGAAAGGCGCCACGCTTTTCTTGTGGCCAGGTATGACCTTGCAGGTACCCACTACACGCCCACTACTCGCACGATTTCGAGTGCGTGTTTATAAACACACGCGCGTGCTCGATGTGATGGTGTCGCGCTGCATCGCCAAGGCCCCTCGCTGCCACATAGCGAGTGCGCGGCAGAATAATCGAGGTGCTTGAAACCGAGCGAAAAGAGACTCGACAAGTGGTGGAGGACGAGGCCGCGAAAAAATGAAGTGACTTTGGTTCAAGTTTGTTGAGGCCAACACTCTGCTTTTGCTGCTTCGGAACGTCCGCATCGCATACATGCTCCTGGCGCAGCTGGCGCCAGATTTCTCGCACGGATGCGCTCTCGTGCTGCCAGCTCATCTCGACACAGTGGTGGTGCACCAATTATGCAGTGCTTCCGTCATCAAGGTTTACACCCGGCACTGTCCGACCCAGCGCCGCCAGTCCTCTGGACGACACACAACATGCGTCACGGCACCGTCGTCCTGCTACGACAACCGACATGTGCCCTCTGCCTTCCTTTGTCTATCCAAGCCCGCGAGCTAGCCTGCCCTCAAGCACTCTCTTTGAACAAAGCTCCGGAAGGGCTTCGGCGAGGCACTTGCCGAGGCGATTTCTCCAGCAAGCATGAGCCTGACCAAGTCTATCATTGTCGTCGTATAGGTAGACTTCTTCGTTGCTCACCAGGGGAGCTACGCGAGCTGCCTCGATGCGGTAGCCTGGTCACGCGAGCGATACCAGCGTGGTTTATCGTCGCGCCCATGTACAGGAGTAATTACAGTCCGTCGGCACATGCAAGAGGCCAGTGCAGCTAGCGCGCGGCCGTTGGTCCGAGCGTATCGCGCTGACGTCTTGAGCACCAAGGTGCTCATGCTTGACGCCTGCCATGTCCATGTAGCATGCTTTGATTGGTCAAAAGCGATTCGAAAATCACCATCTTGACCAATCATAAAGAACGATAGCGTTCTTTTGGCCAATGGCATCGGGGCAATAGTCGACCACAGGCGCACAGTCAGTTGGGAAGACAGAAGCAGCGACGATGAGCATCAAGCTGCGCGATTTGATCCGGAACGTCCGCGCCTGCAAGACGGCCGCCGAGGAGCGCGCGGTGATCGCGAAGGAGAGCGCCTTGATCCGCACGGCCTTCAAGGACCAGGACAAGCAGTACCGCCATCGCAATGTGGCCAAGCTGCTCTTCATTCACATGCTTGGGTACCCGAGCCACTTTGGGCAGATGGAATGCCTCAAGCTCATTGCCGCCAACAACTTCTCCGAGAAGAGAATAGGCTATCTCGTACGACGCGTTGTATTGCTGACCGCTCACATGGTGCTAGGGCCTCATGCTGCTGCTCAACGACCAAGAGGAGGTGTTGACGCTCGTGACCAACTCGCTCAAAAAGTACGTGCCTCCTCCGCAGCCCATGGCCCTCTCAATGTGTCTACCTAGCGACCTCAACCACGTCAACCCGTTCGTGGTCGGGCTCTCGTTAACGGCGGTCGGCAACATTGCCTCGGTACGCAGATATGGCTTGCTGTATCCATGTATCGATCTCGTGTGGTAGCCCGACATGGCGCGCGACTTGATCACGGACATTGACAAACACCTCAAGAGCGAGAACGACTACCTGCGCAAGAAGGCGGCGCTCGCGTGCGTGCGCGTTTTTCGCCAAGTGCCCGAGCTCGTCGAGGACTTTATCGAGCCGATCCACGACCTGCTCAAGTGCCGCAACCACGCCGTGCTGCTCACAGGCGTCCAGCTCATTATCGACTTGCTCTTGATCGACCACGAAGGCCACAGTGGCTACTTCAAGTCGCTCGTGCCGACGCTGGTCAAGGAGCTCCGGAACCTCCTCTCCAACAACTACACGCCCGAGTATGACGTCTCGGGCATCGTCGACCCGTTCCTGCAAGTCAACATCCTCAGGTAGAGATCCATATTTGCCATATTTGCAGGATCCATATATGTCTCGCGTAGTTGCCTCCGCCTTCTCGGCCAGGACGACGACGAGGCGAGCGAGGCCATGAACGACGTGCTGGCCCAAGTCGCGACCAACACGGAGACGTCCAAGAACGCGGGCAACGCGATCTTGTACGAGTGCGTCTCGACCATCATGTCGATCCAGAGCGAGAGCGGGCTCAAGGTGCTCGCCATCAACATCCTCGGCCGCTTCCTCCTCAACCGCGACAACAACATTCGCTACGTGGCGCTCAACACGCTCTCCAAGGTACACTCTCCGCCCATCCCACTCTCGCGCTCACTCTCATACAATCCAGGTCATTGCGGACGATGCGCCAGCGGTGCAGCGCCACCGCAACACGATCGTCGACTGCTTGAAGGACCCGGACGCGTCCATTCGGCAGCGAGCGCTCGAACTCATTTACGCGCTTGTGAACGAAACCAACATCCAATCGGTACCAGATCTCATTTTCTGCACGCTCCCGATGCCACGTATCTCGGTATCTCTAGTTGGCGCGCGAAATGCTCAACTACCTCGTCGTGTCGCCCAACGACCAAAAGCCCGCGCTCTGCTCGCGCATCGCCGGTACACACGGTCTAGATATACACGAACAATGCATACAATATTGTATGTGGTAGATGCGGTCGAGCGGTACGCGCCAACGCAGCGTTGGCACATTGACACGCTCATCACGATGCTGTCGATTGCGGGGAGCGCGCTCACGGACGATCGCATTGCGAGCTCGCTTATCGTGCTCATCCAGAAGAACCCGGAGCTCCACGGCTACGTGGTGCACAAGCTCTTCTGGGCGCTCAAGGAAGACATGAGCCAGCTCGCACTCTCGCACGTGACCTTGTGGTGCCTCGGCGAGTATGGCCGCGCGCTCGGCCAGGACCCGCCCGCCGACGAGGAGACGCTTGTCGGCAAGTCCAAGGTGGAGGACGCGGCGATCGTCGACGTGCTTGTGACGTGCATGCGTCACCAGTCGGCGACCGACACGACCAAAGCGTACGGGCTCACGGCTGCAGTCAAGCTCACGACTCGCCTTCACGACCCGGCGGCGATTGCGAGCCTCGAGACGCTTCTCGCCAGCTACAAGAACTCGCTGGTTGGTCTTTTTTCTTTCAATGTATCAAGTTGAGCATGGTGTTGTAGACGGTCGACTTGCAGCAGCGTGCGGTCGAGTTTGCCGGCTTGCTCGAGCCGCGCTGGAGCAGCATCCGACCGGACGTCCTCGCGCCGATGCCCATCATCGACATGGCGCGCGTCCGCACGCGGCAGTCGCAGTCGCTCTCGATCTCGGCCGCGCCCATCTCGAACGCGAGCGACTTTGCAGAAGCCAAACCGACGGCGCCGGCCGCAGCCACCAACCTCTTGGATCTCGACGACATTTTTGGTGGCGGCGCGCCCGCTGCGCCGGCGGCGGCACCTGCACCGATGCCGCCCGCCGTCGACCTGTTGGCCGACCTCTTTTCGGCGCCAACACCGACGCCAACACCGACACCGGCGCCGGTGGCCTCGTCGGCGGCCGCCGATCTGCTTGGTATGATGACGCAACCGGCAGAGCCATTGGTCGCGGCCGTCGCGCCGCCGGGGCAGCACATTCGCGCGTACGAGAAGAACGGTCTCTCGATGGACATGGAGCTCTCCAAGCCCAACCCGTCGGACCCGTCGATCACGTACATTTCGTGCATGTTTACGAATGCGTCGGCCTACCAGTTGGACCAGTTTGTGCTGCAGGCCGCGTTCCCCAAGGTAGTTTATATATGACGAGAGAGTCTCCATGTCGACGACTCTAGTACATTCGCCTCATCATGGAGCCGCCGAGCGGCACGACCGTGCCAGCCAACATGGGCGGTCGCTTGACGCAAGTGGCCAAGATCCAAAACACAAACCACGGCGAGGTACACTCTTCCGCTCTCGTCCTCGTGGTTGACGACGACAATATTGACCACGTGACTAGAAACCCATCATGATGCGCATCAAGCTCGAATTCGTCATCAACGGCACCAAGATCGAAGACATGGCGACCGTCAGCAACTTTCCGCCGGGCATGTAATGCTCCAAACGATACACAATCTGTCCTCTTTGTCCTCTTGAGATTATGTATTGCTACATCGTCCAACTACGCATGGAGGCCCTTCTGGAGGTAGCTCCAGTACACCGCACGGACCGGGTCGACCACCATGAGCTTCTCCAAGATCTAGTACAGATGATGACAATGGATGCGCAAGGAGAAGCAAGCTACCTCGGTCGCCGCCGCCACGTTGGCCGGCGTCGGCTCTTGCGACAAAATGTCGACGAGGACGTTGGCCGCAAACGTGCAGGTCGGGTGCGCCGCGTAAATGGCGGCGCATCTCGCTTCGATGGTCGGGAGCTCGACAAAGTCCTGGTGCGCGATCCAGCCGCGGAGATAGTTCCACGCGCTTTCGTTGTGCGGCGCCTTCTCAATGTACGCGAACGCAACTTCGATCTCTTGCGCGCGCACGATCGCGCTCGGCGGCGTGTGGTTCCGGACAAACCACCGGTGGTTCCACGCCTGTTGTTTGACGAGTTATTCCATCATGTAGCAAGGCGGCCATAAGAGGAAGCGTACCGAGTTGTTGCGCATGTCTTGGGCGAGCATCTCGTCGACGAAGGCGAGTTCGCCGTCCCAGAGGCCAAAGCGCTGCACGACCCATTGGCGGTACGACCAGCAATGGTAGTTCTTGCTGTCGTCCGAGAGCGCTTCGGCGATGAACGGCAGCTCCCGCTTGGCGTCGTTGAGCCGGTCGACGATCTCGCGGCGGTGGTGCCAAATCTGGTAGTTCTTGGGGTTGTCGAGCGCCTTGTCCATGCAAAAGTCGAGCTCGTCGGCCAAGTCGGCGTTCAGCGCCTTGAGCACCTTGCGCCGAAAGTGCCTACTCGTAGCTTTCGCGGCCACGTCCCATGTCAGCGGCGTAGGCCTACCACGCCGTGTAGTTGGCCGCGTTGCACTCGATCACGGCCTCGGTCAGCGTCAGCGTGCGCTCGCTGAGCTCGTCCGAGAGCAGCACGGCGCGGAAGAGGTCCATGACGTCGCGGTCTAGGCGCATGCATGAGGCGATGCATGAGGAAGAGGCCATGTACAGTAGGTAGAGTAGTTGATCGGGACCGCGGGGTTCGGGCCATCGTCCTGCGGCACGCGCTGGACGTCGGCCCACTCGGGATTCTGGGGACCAAAGTCCATCCGGATGAAGAATGAGTCCGGTTGCGAGGCGAGGCAATTCGCACAGCCAAGTACCCTACCCTCGCCGCAGCTCTTGCCGTCCTCCGCAAGAAGCATACGATTGTAGTAAAGACCAGCAAGGACTCGACTGCTACTATTAGCTGCTAATAGCTACTAGTGTGCATGTTGCAAGATACGCTGCTGGATCGCAGCGTCAAGCAACTAGGACGCGCTTGTACCTATGTAGGACGAAGCAGTGAGCCGAGGCGTCTCTACGTGGCTGCGACCAACGGACCAGGAAGCGTGACATGCTGCAGCAAAGAGATGACAGCGGCGGTCGTCATGGACACCTGCGACAGCTTGCCTTTCAATTCCTATCACGTGGCGCTGAGATAGGGTCAACAAGCGGCGCCTGGGACACCGTGGCCAAGCCGCAGCGGGTCTATGTAGCACGCGCCTCGCACACGACGCGTGTCCCAAGGCGCAAGGCGTTCGCGTGATGCGAGGTGCATCACCGAAATCTCCAAGCGCATGAAACGAGAACGTCGACTCTATTCGACACACGCGAAAATGGCATCCCAAGCAGCGCTCTCTACTGCAGCTTCTTTGCGATTTGCTCGACTTCGGCCGTGGCCTTCTGCGCCTGGGCTTCATTGCGCAGCATGTAGCGGTCCGAGGCCCAACAAAAGAGAAAGCAGATTGTACCCATCGGCGTCTGGTCCTTGTCGAGCTCGCCCTTGATGTTGTGCACGCGGAGGTTGTAGACCTGGACGCCGAACCAGCAGAGCTGGATGAGCATGAGGCTAAAGCCGAGCTTGAAGAGAAGGAGCGGCTTGTAGATGCGGTGCAAGAAGAACACGCACGAGACCGACGTGACCAGCGACAGGAGCTCGAACGCGAGGTTGAACTGGAGGCTGTAGCCGGCGCCGCTGAAGAGCGCGTACGCGTGGTAGCCCGAGACGCCGCCGACCATGGCGCAGGCTTTCGTCAAGAAGTCCTTCCAGAGGCCGTTGAAGTAGATGGTCTTGGCATGGTGCGTGAGCACCTCCTTCTCAAGCTGCTGCGGCGACGGTGCCACAGCCTTGGACTTGCTGCCCTTCTTGAATTGCCCCATTGACTTTGGAATAATGACAAGTGCCGCCGATTGGGGCAAATTCGGTGAAAATCCGCCAATCCCAATCCGATTCTTGGCTTCCATACAAAAGCCAAGTTTGTTTGAAGGAGGCAACCACGAAAGGGAAAGTAACGCGGAAGCACCTTACATCGACTTCATTTTGGAGAAAGTAACTAGTTAAGACACGAAATCGATTGCTTGTGGTGAATATCCTTATTGAAAATGGAGTTGGGTGCATTTCCAGAGGCCAGATCCACACAGGACTCGGAACTAATCGTATTGGTAGTGCCCTGTCGAGCGCTTGAACGCTGCGATGTAATCCGTCATGCTGGCGATCCTGCCGTACGGCCAGTGTTGTCCAGTGCAAAATCTGGGTGGTCCTCGTAGCTTTGCTTTGCCAACTCAGATAAGCACATCCGAGTCGCAGCCTATCGGTGCCACGGAGGCCGATGTGTCCAAGGTACGTACCGTGGTTCCTTGGTTGCCTTCAACGAGAAGCTCAACGTGCTTGAATTACACGCGCCGCGGCCATGCGCCGAAGCATAGAACCGTCCACGGCAAGGGACCTCAGAGTTGACATGTCCCATCCAGTGTTTGACCGACTTTAGATCCTGTTTGGATTTTTTCGTTTTGTTTGAAAACAACGTGATATTTGTAAGATAAATAATGTCATGTTTTAAATATAGGTCGGAAACACTGGCTTAGTGCCCGACAGTGGTCGTCTGGGCGGCCGCGCACAGCATCGAGAAGGAGCTAAGGAGCTGAGCGGGCGCGGGAACGACGTGAGGAGCTTGTCTTGGAGGACATCGATGGACTCGCCAAAGCAGAGCGCCCGCAGCGACTGCAGCTCGCGCTCGGTCTGGAGGATCTCGGCCATGCTCGCGTCTTGGTACATCTTGGGCTGGTACGTCGCCGTGCCAATGCGCCGGGGAATCTCCATGCCCGCAATCGCGCACGTCGCGAGCTTCTTGGAGACGCGCATCGGGTTGCAGCCAAGGCGGTGCGCCAGGAACGACCGGAGCGACGTGCCCTTGCGCAGCTGAAGCTGGCCCTTCATGAAGGCTTCGATGAGCTTGCTCGCGTACGTCTGTTCTTCGCGCGACCAGTAGCCGACGCGGTTGTTGGCTGCGAACGAGAGACCGCCGCGCTCACTGCGCATCGCGCGCTTCGGCAGCTTGTCCTTGACCGCGAGGTCGAGCTGCTTCTCTTCAGCGACCGCACGCAGAAAGGACGCCTTGAGATCGCCGAGCGACGCGAGCTTGGCAGCCGCGAGCGCGTCGACGTTCTGGCGCAAGTAGCGCTTCTGGCCGAGCTTCTTGGGGATCGAGACGCCGGCAAAGTTGAGGTGGTGGCCTTCGCCCGAGAACTTTTTGGAGATGCGCATGGGTGGGCACTGGAGCTTCTCCGCGAGGAACGATCGGAGCGACGTGCCTGTCGCGAGGTCGGCGAATGCACCGAGAATAAAGCACTCGATGAGCACTAGCGCGTATTGCTCTTCTTCGGGAAACCACTTGCCCATGCGGAGGTGCGGCGTCGACGAGGCGCGCGGCGAGTCGCCGCCGTTGGACGACCGGGGCGACGACGACATGGAGGCGTCGGTCATGTCGTGGTCGTCAAAAACGTCCAATTCCATGGGCGCGAGGATGCGAGAGAGGTCCATCGTGAAGAGGTTGGGAGGAGGATGGTGCTTGTTGGACACGAAATTGCAAAGTGAGGTGCGTGGAATCTCTTGCTGCTTTGCCGCCGCATCCATATGAGACAGTGGTGGCTTTCTTGAGCTTCAAGAGCCCGGCGGGCGACGCCACATGCTGCCCGCCGTGCAACACTTCAACCCACCGCAGCACCTGTCCTGTCCCGCATGTGCAAAATCAGTTCCAAGTATATATCGATTGTCACGGGTTTATATGCGAGCGTTCTTTGGCTTGAAGCGCAGAATGAATCCATTCAATATACAAGAATATAAAAGGAGAAAGGTTGCGCGTGGCACTCTGATGGAGCTCGCAAAGAAACGGCCGGGCCTGGCGATCGTGCGGACTTGGTTCCTGAAGTTGCTTTTCTCGCTGTACATACGACATATCGCTATCTATTCAGGGACACGGGGTTGATCGCTGATCTGCAGCCGACTTGAGTCCTCCTGCACCAACTTGTGTGGTCAGCGGCCTCGTACTTCTGCTCGTGGTTGAAGGGAAAGCAGCCATCGACAGTACTTAGAGACCTGCAAGACCAATACGTACACTGTAATCGCACACGCATCGGACGGGGCTCTTGAGAGGTCAACCATTCGCGACATGCCAATCCTGAGGTTGAGGAACGCCCGTCTGAAGAGATAAAATGCCACCCAATTCCAAAAGTGCTGGTGAGAAAAGAGATGGTTGCAAAGACCTTGCGTTGAGAGGACGGAACGAGCGAGCGCCGAAATGTGCAGTGAGCAACGCATGCGCCATGGGCGCATCGCTTCAGAAAATCGTTGTGGTTGCAGAAACCATACCAAATTGCGCTGACCAGACGCGTACCGGAACAGAGGTGGGTGCCAGATCCAGTGCCACCAGATGGCAAAATGAAATGCAAAGCTACACTTCTGCTCGTCATCGCGCGGATGCAAAGAAACCGGCGACTGGTCGGAGGCACGCCAGCGGGATATGCAGGCGGCTTACCAAGCCAGGAGAACGATCCGTCGTGCGTTCGGGAGGGACGACGGTAACGGTACTACTGGCCATGAGGCCTCGCGCTGTTCGTATTGTTAGCACGTGAACACGCGCACGACGGTCGCGATGGGCGTCCGGCATATCGGGCACCCCGTCGCTTTGCGCTGGAGCTCCTGGAGGCACGGGTAGCAGCCCGCGAGGTGGCCACACGGCACGACGACGGCGGCGCGCGGCTGGTCCATGCAGATGACGCAGTCGTTGTTGGCCTCGAACGCGCAGAGCTCGAGCGGCGGCGCCGACGGACGCACCTCGGGACACGGCTCGGGCCCCACGTCGTAGCCACGTCCACCTTCCTTTTGGTCATTGTTGTTGGTTTCGTTGTAGCTGTTGTTGTTGCTGCCGCGATGTGGCACGTTTTCCTAGATACGGTTGGCATGGCCAGAGGACAGGCGAACGGTAGTACCATTCGGGGTGGCGGCAGTGGCGTGAAGGCCAATGGACCGAGGAGCTCGACCCACTGCCGGCGGCCGTCCTCGGTCTCTGTCGCGAAGCGCACACCGTTGGCGCTGTAGCTGGGAAGGTGCCGGCGGCCGCGAATGATCTCGGACCGCGAGAACGCATCGCGCTGGTAGCGCTGAATCGTTGCGTTGGGCGTAAAGTGGAACGTGTGCTTGCGCACGTGGCGGCTCGACGAGGTCGGCGAGACAGCGGTCGCTGCCGCGCTCAGCAAGAGCACTTTCGTGGGCTTGACGTCGTCCGGGTCCTTGTACATGGCGAGCTCGAGGCACGACTGGTCGTTCGTGCACTCGAGGAGCATGCACCACTGCTTCTTCCATTGCGTAAAGACCGAGTGGCCTTTCTTGACGTAGAGAAAGCCTTTGGCCGTCACAAACCGACGGTGGAGGAGCAGTGCGACTTCGCGCTGCCCGGCAAAGCGTGCGAGGTCGATGGCTGCGAGGCCGTCGTCGTTCCACATGTGCGCATCACAGTTGGCCGCGACGAGCTTCTCGACGACGCCAACCTTGTTCTTGGCCGCCGCAAAGTGCAGCGCCGTGTTGCCGCCGGCGCGGTCGCGGACGTTGACGTCCGCGCCTCTCTCGAGCAGCATCGATACGAGCTTGTGCTAGCCAGAGATGCAAGTGGGTGCTGCGATACACGGCAGAGTGAGTACCTTGCCGCAGAGGCTGGCCATCATGAGGGGCGTCGTGCCATGCTCGGGGTGGGTCCAGTTGACAAACGTGGCGGCGTCAGGGTGCAGCAGGATCGCGCGGACCTTGTTGACGTCGCCAAGCCGCGCCGCCTTCCAGAGCATCGCGCCGCATGCTTGCGGCGGCGGCGTCATCCGCGACTCGGTCGTTCCCATGCTCTTGCTCTTGCTACTGCTGCTGCTGGAAGCACAAATGAGCCAAAATCCACGTGCAGCTATTTATAGATTGAAACCAAAACGCCAATCAACGGCAACAAAATTCTGTGCACACAAAAATTGTTCGAAGATTATACGACGATCAGTACTTTGTCCATTTAGGTGAAGGTTTCTAGACCTTAGAACTAGCCAAGGGAATATTGGTATTCCCTTGGCGGTATATTGTTAACTACTATATGTTTGGAACTAGCGTGCTCGAACTGCAGTTTAGACGAGGCAAGTACTAGTACCTTTTACGTGGTGGGAAGCTAACAAAAATGCCCAATAAAGTCAAGGAAGAAGAGGCTAGAACTTTTATAGAGGCTGGAAAATCCATGTACACAGCTGCGTCAGTAAGACACTCGTACTTTGGCACTCGCTTGAACACATATGTGCAAGAAACTCTCAATTCAAAGAGACTCACGTGTTGACGAAGGCTATCTATCTATCTATCTATCTATCTATCTATCTATCTATCTATCTATCTATCTATCTATCTATCTATCTATCCAAAACACTGGTGTGGGGCCATGCAACAAGTCCTCTTCTTGACTAGGATCAAGCCATACGAGAAAGCAGAAAGAGTCATCTCGGTCGTCCTTGACAAGGCGTAATGCTGCGAAGGCGACACAACAACACAACCTCCCACACCGCGCTTCTATCAACTGTAATGTAGCGAGTTGCCACGTTCGCTGGTGACGTATTTCACGTCGAACGAGAGGGCGCAGCGTTGGCACCGCTGTCAACGACTCGTGCGACGCTTACTCGAAGCCTGCGTTTTGGCCCTGTACACAGTGATCTAGGCAGAGAGATTGGCTTGGGGATTTGTGTCTTGCCGCCTTTGCTGCGTCACACGAAACGCGAGTGGCAAGAGATGCGATGTAGTACAACACGTACGGACGTGAGCTGCTCGTCGTTGGCTAGCTGCAAGTAACGAGCCTACGGAGCGCAGTCGCAAGCCCAGCGATGCAAGACGTCGCCTCGCGACGACTCTACTCGTGTGCCTGCATCAACAAGACCACTTTGTACGAGTGGCGTCAGCCAGCGTATTATTCCTTCATCGAGAAACACTACCTTGCATGCAGAGACGCTGACCTTTTTCATACAATCCCTATCTGTTATGGTGCGAAGAAGTGTAGCAGAGAGTGGCAAACCTACCGGTACTGTAGTATGGTGAATTAAATGATTTTATCGGTGCAAGAGCAGGCAGTGCCTGCTCTTGCACCGGACAAGGAATACGTAGACGACCGCTACGACGAAGTCGTCTGTCCAAACGCGAGCTGCATATCTACATGTAGTGGTTTTGTCTGTGAAACGCACAGTGGTGAACAGGTGCTAGTGAACCTTGTCACCTTGTCAACGACCTACTGACTGCTAGAGCGTTGGAGTCCCCATTCGAGTAGCGTCTTACATTGTGCGAAATGTGGTCGACCTTGCTTGGTACATGTGAAGGAGTTGATGACCGTCTCTTGACGCTTCCAGAGAACTTTTTGTGGGGAAGTTGCATCGCTCTTCGAAAGAGCCGGGACTGCATCATGCATGCATGCTGTATAACATCCACTCGGACCGTACCAATTCTTCATGGATGGATCACATCAGTTGGATCGCCACCGACTCTGCAGCCTCTCGGGGCGAGGTGTTGTTTACTTTACCTCTTGTGCGCAACCCTTCGCGGGTAGGCAATGTGCGAGCCGCCGTTGTCGTTGATCTGCATCTCCGACTTTGGTTGACGTCGGGCGTGTTGCTACACTGCATGCCGTCGAGGTGCACTAGTATTTTGAAAATAGTAACGTTAGGACCCAAGCGGGTTCTGCGAATCTTCTTGGCTGGCCAGACGACGATGCAATGTCGTTTGCCGGGTGGCTTGAAGGCAACTTTGTATGCTCGAGTCTATTAGTGTCCGCACCGTCTAGAGCGTATGGTCCATCAACAAAAATCAGCTTCAAAATCGCGTTACACGACTTGTTGTAACTGCCATATAAAGCGAGCATCTTTTTAACCTTACCACGTACTACACAGCACGCCTCCTGATCCGTTCGAATCGCTACACATGTATACGTATCTGACAGAGCTGTGTGTGGAAACACTGTGGTGTTGTCACCTCTCGGTCACTAGTATCGCGACAGGGGACGACGAAAAGAGCAACATAGAAAGCGAGCAGCGATGTAACGGTGAAACCGGCTGGCTATCTGTTTGATTGACGTCAGGAGCACCCAGCTGACAAAGCTAGCCGTTTACGACGTAATGTCTGGCCTATAATAGGCCACCGGATCCTTTCGCGGTGGTATCAGTCAATACTATGTGCTTATTTACAAACTTGCGCGCTCGTCCGACAGTGTCCTTGCGATGGCCGACTATTCGCCGGTCGCTACGACCTTTGTCCTCCTCGGTGTCACGTGCTGCTGCCTCGGATACCGCCTCGCCTACATGATTGCGCTCTTCGTTGGTCTCCTCGGTAGCCTCTTTACGTTCTACGTCTCGCCGCTCGCGGCGATCGCACCCGTTGCGATCGTCACCCTAGTCTTTTACGCCGGCCACCGCCACGGCGGTCTCGACGAGGCCATGCGCTGGACCACGCTGACCTTTGTCGCGCTAGCGATGACGACCGTCGGTGCCATTAGTACCTACGCGATGCGTCCGATTGTCGACGTCGCCTTTGGAATCGTGGCCGGTGTCTGGGCAGCAGTCGTCGCACTTCTCTTCCTCCGATGCAGCGAGCGCACGGCGCTCATCGTGGCAACCTCAACGCTCGGCGCAGCTCTCATCATGCACGGCAGCACGTTTGCGGTGCAAGATGGCGCGTTTGATTTTCTCCATCTCATTGGCATGTGCACGATCGAGTCCGTAGCGATTCCAGTGCAGCTGCTCTGTGCGATGGGGCAGCCGGCGTGGCGTCGCCCGAGCCTTGCCGCCACGTCGGTGGCGACACCGACACCCCGCGACGACGACGACAATGCGCTGGCCACGCCGCCACCGAGCGAGGACCACATTTCAATTGCGATCATCACACCCTCCACCGGCATCCACGAACAAGACAAGTGAGATTCATTCAAAGTAGAGTTGTACAGAAGTGTAGTCGAACGAGTCGTTGTCGTTCTTATTTAATAAATAGTACTCGTGCTATGCGAATATGTGTATACGTGCTGGAAGCAAGACGATTACCATGAAAGTTTATAACTTTGGAAGTCGTTTACGCTTCTCAAGTGAACACTTGAAGCACCGACTCGATGGGTGCGCGGCAGACAGGACACAACGAGACGCCTTGTGCGAGACAGCGGCTACAGCACGCGAGGTGACGGCACGGCAACGTCACACAGTTCTTGGGCGCGTCCAAGCAAATGATGCACTCGGCGCCTTCGTTCGTATGGGACGCGATGGCTTGACGGTACGACGGCGGTGGACCACGCACGTGCAGGGGCAGTTTCTCGCCAAGAGGCGGTGCGCTTGGTGGTGCCATTGGCTCTGAAAACGACGGCGCGGAAGCCGGCATGGCCTGCGCCACCATGGGACCGATCGCGAGCTTGTCAAAGTTCAGTGGTAGATGCAGTGTGGGGCTGGGTCGATGCGATATTACCGGGCTCGGCGGCTCGCACGCGGGGCTCAGGGAAAAGGCTGGACTCGAAGGGGTATCAATACTTGCTGGACTCGCAGGGTTGCTTGCGGGATTGGCCGAGTTGCTATCTGGACTGATGGGCGTCGACCGGCTCATCGTAGCGTGTACTTGCTGCTTTGTTTCAGCCACTAGTGACGCCGCCATGAATTTGGCAATGCCGTCGGCGTACGGGTTGCGCGCCGTCGGGACAAAGACATCGGCAGCGGTCGTGCCGTGCCGGCTCTGCGCCGCCACGACGGTCCCAATGTTGCACCACTCTTGCACCGCTGCCGCCGACTCTACGAGGAGGCGAAAGGCCCGAGGTTGCTGCTTTGCGCGCGGCAAATTGCCAACGTCTCGGGTAAACGTGGACGGCCGATAGGGCACCCAGATGGCGGCAGGGGCGAACCGGAGCTCCATCGCGTGGTCCGGGTTGGCCTCCAAGACCGAGACATTCGGGCTAAACCAAGCGACTTTAATCGGACAGACGCTGTCTTTGGTCGGGTAGAACGCGAGCTCGTACAGCGGCGGTGCTTTCTCGCCCGAGACGCGCAGGAGCCGCACAAAGCACCGTCGCCAGCTCTTGAAGACCTTGCTCGCGTTGCGGTAGCTCATGGGCGCTTGATATACTTCCATCGCATGCAGTAGTGCATCGACGCATGCTATCTGGACCTTGAAGCGCGCGACGTCCAGCGGCAAGAGACCGAGCGCGTTCTGGCGGTAGACGTCGGCGCCGTGCTGGATCAAGAGCCGCACAATGGTGTCGTAGCCATAGTACGCCGCAACGTGGAGAGGCGTGCTCTTCTTCTTGGTTCGCGTCGTGGCGTGGACACGGGCGCCCGCTTCGACGAGCAGCAGAAGCGCTGCCTCATGCTTGTGCAAGGTCGCGGCAAGCAGCGGCGTCGTGCCCTCAATCGGGTGGCGGAACTCGAGCATCGGCTTGAGAGAAATGTCATTGCCAATGCGCCCGAGGCACTTCTTGAGGTCTTCGAGCTTGCCGTGGCGGGCGGCCTCCCAGAGCGCTGCGCCGACGGACCTCGCCGGCGCCATGACGTGGGCAGAGCAAATATGGGCTGCGAAAGGCGACCTGTTGGCCAATCCGAATTGAGATCCACTTCGAACTTCGTGTGCCCACTTTGTACCTAATAAAATTGTCGCTGGACAACAGCTTATTTGTATATGATATTGAAATGAAACAAAATACCACCGAAGAATTCGGCAGATGCCACTTTGCAGTTCAGAATTCCGTCCAGCAGCGCCACATCTGCAGCCAAAACGAGCAGCTCGCTGCATCGTTGGCATCGCGCTTCGCACCACGATATGTAGACGTGCTTGCGCGTATAGTCTATTCCACAAGTCGTGTGCTTGCGCGCTTCCTTATGTCGAAAGGAATTCCGGCAGTCATGATGCCGAATTTAAGAAAACTTCGATCGAAGGGCTATTGACCAATCAGTTTTGGAACCAATGATCCAGCACTTGTAGTACGAGCATGGCCAAGGGCAACGACGCCGACCTAACGATCGAGGAGCGGTTGGCGCTCAAGAAGAGCGGCTTCGCCAACGCGCCCAAGGCCGCGTCCTCGGACGAAGGCAGTGGCGACGAGGATGACGATGCGCCCACGACGAAGCGCGCCAACAAGAACTGCCCGCGCGAGATGACGTCCAAGCGACCGGTCGCGCGCTTCCGCGAGGTGCTCCAGATCCGAAAGAAGGCGTCGCGCGACCCGCGCTTTGACGCTGCGAGCGGCAAGCTCAACGAAGACCTCTTCAAGAAGGCGTACACGTTTCTCGAAGACTACAAGGAAGCCGAGCTCGACGACGTCAAGAAGCAGCTCAAGAAGGCCAAGAGTGCGACGCGCAAGGCCGAGCTCAAGGAAGAGCTCGCGGCGCGCAAGCAGGAGCGCGCCGAGACGCACCGCGCCAACAAGATCCGCGAGGCGACGCAGAAGCGCAAGCGCGAAGAGCGCGAAGCCGTCGCGAGCGGCAAAAGCGCGTTCTACCTCAAGCGCAAGGACAAGAAACAGGTCGAGCTCAAGGCCAAGTACGACGAGCTCCAAGAGTCCGGTCGGCTCTCCAAGTTTATGGCCAAGCGCCGCAAGAAAACGCCAACAAGGATCATCGGTGGCTTCCGACGCAGCGCAAAGAGACGGCGTAATACTAATAGATCCATCTCGTGTTTCCATGACCTCGCAAGAAAATATGGCGCGTGGATCCAAAGCGCAGTCAGCAGAAGCTGTTGCAGACGTGCGCTTCTGGTCGAGTGAAGAGAACATCTACGTTCGATTACCGACTAGCAGAGGACTAGCAGGGTATAGCAGGGTTCGATGCGGCGTCGCGACTTGGTTATTTGGATGAACGGAACAGGCCCGAGCGCCGCCGACAAGCCACCTCCATGCACGCTGTCATTACCAATCTGATATCTGATATCTGATATCTGGCAACCACAGAATCTTGCTACATCCGCTTCACCTGGTATCATCTAGATCGAAAGAGACGTGCGGTGGCGGCGCGCAAACGCTGCATAAATGTAGTCGATCGTCATCACGGCGTAGAGCGGCGCGGTCTTGTCACGGACGCACACGGGCTCGGCGAACCGCGCCGCCAAGCGCTCCACCAAGGCACTTTCGAGCTCTGGATTCGATCGCTCGTGCTCCGTCATGCCCGCCGCCAGCGTAGGGCCCAAGAGCGACAACATGGCCATGGCCATGGCGGTCGCAGTAGGCATCTTCACGGGCAACGAGATCGCGCGCAGCTCGATGCGATCCCACTTGTCGACGACGACACTGGCCGCTGTGGCCACGTCGTCCATGCTGCGCAGGTACCAGCCGATGGCGATCTTATCGAGCGAGGTCGGCGAAAGCAGGTCCAGCGCCACAAGATCCGTGAGCGCCGACTCGACCGCCGACACCATCAAGCCCACGGTCGATGCGCCGACATCGGCCATGAGCGTCATCGAGAGAACGCCGTTATCGGCGACTTCAGCTGCACGCAGAGTGAGGAACTCGGTCAAGTCGGCCGTCGCGGCGGCTTGCCACGTCACGTCGCCCGAGACATTGTCCGGCGTGAGCATCGGCCCCGGCACGGGCGACGGCAGCGTCGAGAGCCACTGAAGCGCCGCGTACGAGACGCACACATCGACCGAGTTGTGCGGCACGAGCTGCTGAAAAACTGTGGTGGAGGACACCCGCGAACGCATTGTGGTGCGAATTGACGTACGATGGGTCCGACGCCAACGCATCGACGAGCGCGGTCACGTCGTTGGCGCTGCTGGACGCATGCAACACGAGGTACTCGCGGTGGGTCTCCCACGGAAGAAGCTGCTCGCACTGCGTGAGCAAGGTCGAGAGCAACTGCATCGACTGGCCGCCGTTCCCAGCGCCAGCGTCCAGCACCCGAAGCGTCAGCGGCGAGGCCGTGCCTTTCGAGGTGACGAGCGGCATGACCGCCTGCTTGAGCAAGTGCGCCGTCAAGCCCACGAGGTCCGAGTGCTCGCCATGACGCGCCGTTGACATCGAGAAGACGCGGCGGTGAAGGCAATGCAGTCGGTGCATTGTGAAGTGGGGACAAGGCTGATTCATCAATGACCTGACGAGTGAGAACCCACGGTTGGCGCGGTTGAGCTGGGAAAGGACGTTGCAGAACAAGACAGCGGTGCAAGAGCACTGGATTCTTACAGAGCATGCGCGTACAACAACGTGCACGTAGTAGCTCACGTAGGCTTATCAACAGTCTTGTTTCAATATATCAATTTATATAATATCAACCGTTCAACGCTTGTATAATGAATCGCCCTAGCATTGGACTGGACAGCTGTCTTGTGCGAGGACGGCAGACGACGGTAGTGAAGGATCGACGACTGCGACTCATGTGCTGCTCTGTAGCTGTTGTTTATTTTACACATCCAAGGCAGCGATCAACGCGTTGGGAGTTGCCGGTTGCGTCGTGGGGTGCGAGCTGTGCGAGACTGCGTTGGGTCTTGACCGTGATCGTCTTTGCCTCGGGGCACTTGACCATAGTAGCTTTGGACTCGCCGACGAGGCCCGCGGCCCACGCAATCGTCTTGGTGATTGGGCTCCGGCGGTGCGAGCGCGACTTGCTAAATCGTGCGGCGTTGTACTTGATGACGGAGAATTTGAAGACTGCCGCGTACTCGTCCTTGGTGAGCGTCTGTGTTGACTTGCACACGGTGTGGTAGTAGATCAAGAGCAGCAGTAGAAACGCTGCAAACGACGCGACCGCGACACCGTCGTCACCCTGAAAACCTCCGGCAATCGAGAGCGCGAGCAGCAAGTAGACGCTACCGGCAAACACAGCGCCGGGAATACCGAACGGACTTGTGAATTCTTTCGAGTCGCAGCGGTACGTTGTCCGAAGCATGCCGAAACCAATGAGCTGCGCGCTGTAGCAAAACGTCGCGGCCAAGAGAAAGAGGTTTTGTAAGGCCTTTTCAAACGCGGGGCTCAGGTGCGAGAGCGTACAGAGGAGGTACCCAAACGCGGACGCGGCGACCATGGGCTTTAACGTCGTCGCCTGGTTCTTGAGGCCGAGGCACGCCGGCAGCATGTTAGAGTTCGCGAGCGACTGCGTCAAGTGCGCGTACTGCAGAAAAAAGCCCGCCGCCATGCCCATTTGGGCGGGTAGAATCAACCACTGGCCAACGGTCTCCGAGATACCGAGCATCCCGAGCCCGTTGTTGAGTGGAAAGGTGGCATTCACCGCCGAGGCAATCCCCGGCGGCAGCGACGGCACGACGAACACCATCGACATGTTAGAGCAGAAAAGCGTCACGACCGCACATAGCATGCCGCGTGGCAACGTGCGCTTTGGTTCCTTTGTGTCGCCGGCGATGAGCGTGAGCGACTCAACGCCGGCGTACCCCCACGTCGTGTAGGGCAGCCACGCAAAATACGCAGTCGTGATGGTGCCAGTCGCCCAGACAGGCGCGAGCGGGTCGTCGCGATACGCGCCGTTCTGCGCCAAGTCGCCGTACATGCACCCGGCGACGACAACGAGCAGCATCGGGATGGCGCAGACGAATGCAAAGAGGACCATGAGTCGCCAGTAGATGCGTCCTGGCAGCTGAAAGACGGCGATCGAGACGGCGTAGAAGACAAACCAGATCAATGGCTTCCAATGGTCGTCCCACGCGAAGGCCGCCGTGACGAAGTCGGCAACGTAGCCCACCGAGCACGCTGCGGACGCCACGTATTCAAGGAGCTCGACGAATCCGACGACAAAACCGCAAAAGAACCCGAGCGTAATGCGCGTGAGACTGTACGAAACGCCGGCAAACGGCACTTTGCACGAGACCTCGGCGATCGACGTGACGTAGACCACGTACGCGGCGCCCGTGACGATCTGGGAAAGCGCGAATGGCAAAAACCCGGTTTGAAGCGCTTCGTTCCAGCCGTAGAGGTGGCCGCCAATGACACATACAAAGCCAAGCGCCCAGACATGGATAGTACTAGCTTTGTCGGCTGGAAGGATCACCGGTTCGATGCAGTCGTCGAGCTTCCACTTTTGAACGTCTTTTTGCTGCGCAAGCCCGCGGAGGTTGGATTCGGACGCGACGGGCACGACGCGCCGTTGGGACGGCGGGTGCGTCATGCACGACGATCGCAAAATGAACGATGGTCAAGTACTGGATGTAGGATTTGCGAGCTCAAATTAGCCCAACGACACACAACGGCCGTGGGTTGTATTTCGATGCTGGGCGTTCAAGTGACATCTCCGGCGAGTAAATTAGGTGCAAATCAGTTGGGCGGAATCCAGTACTTACAGTAAGATAGAGTGGTGTGCGCCGATAAGATGAGCATAAGTGGTCGTGGTGCCAAGCTGCATCGCTATTCGAGGTCCGCTATAAGGTTGGTTGCAGGCTCCGAACCAGCCGCGTCGTTGCTCCGTCTAGACTGCACGTGAATGCGTGAGCACTAAGAAGCTTTGCTCGATCGAGACTGCCTTCCGCCGACATTCGTGAAATACCAGGTTCATCCTTGACCCCCTTTTTTGTCGTTGACATTTAGGACGGTTCAAGTCGATGGCGAAATTCAGACTGAGCTCGCCACGTCACTATTTTAAGCGTCGGCGACTGTCGTGCGCACGATGCCAGGACGTTGTTGAACTGAGTTATATTACATGCAATTATAAAGATATGGTGGACTTCCTAATGCGCTCGTGAGGCCTGGCCGGTGCGTCAGCGAGAAGCGTTAGTGGTCGTGATTCGAGATTGTGCGAGGGACCAGGTAGCGTGCACACCAAGGATCGTCGCGGAGAGCGACCAGCGACGCGTCAAGAGATGGCACCACAGCGCGACGAGCTAAGTGCCGGATGTGCAATCGTGCGGTAGTAGCTGCTCGGATCGCGAGCGCGGCAGCGGGAAGTTGCGTCAGCGTCGAGCGGAAGACTCGACGTCCTTCCTCTGCCTTGTGGGCGTCTCGAGATCTGTCTTGTAAATGTGTTGAGAGTGAGCGCAGCGGCTTGCCGAACCCAATGCGCCTCCGTCGCACCGTGGCTGCCTTGGATGACGTGGCCTTG